CACTTACCACTGAAAAGGCGGGTGAAGTTTTGAAATTAATATTAACCGGATGGAGGTCACACACTGAACGCACGCTGTGCAATACATGGAAATTTCCATTAGAAACTTGTACACAATTGCGTTTATTCGGTGCACATGAGAAACCAAAATACTTTTAAATTATGAAAAGAAACTAAAGCTTTACTATATATCTATTGAAATCCCTTATTATCACTAAATAAAGCCGTTTTATCCAAATTATATATTTCACTCACACTGCACTGTAAATTTGCGAATTTGTAACTTGTAGGAATGTGAAGGTTGCCACAAAGTTTACATCAATGTTCCTATTAAAAAAATTGCCAAATCGTTATTTCTTTTCTATTTTAGTGCATATTTAAAAAAAAGAACGAATAATTAAAATATATGTTTATATAATGTGCATGTGAATGAAATATGCCCAATTAACATACTGGCACACCTAAGCAAAAACGTTGAGTGACGCGTTAATGCGTTACGTGACGCCAAATGGGACAAAAGAAATGAAATGCAAAACGATTTAAATTATTTAAAATACTTTCTTTCATTTTTACAAGCATTAAACTGAGCGCCTCAAGAAACTTTTAAGAAAAAGTACTTGTTAACGCCTTGAAAATATCTTTGGATCCAATTAATTTGATTTTTGTGATATGGCAACTTTTGCATTTAATTACAGTGCAGCCAACATTTGCGAGTTTACTTCAACGCTCCGACAGTTATTCGCCGCAGACCGAACTTGGCAGCCGAATTGAGTTTTTCGCATTTTTCATAAACCAATAGTCCGATTGTGCGTTTCTCGTCTTTTTAACTTCAATTTTTTCTTGAGGAATATATTTGATACTTCAAGTTGAGGAACAAAGAAACAACGGCAGTTGTAAGTTTTGTTTGTTGAGGCATAAAGAAAAGTGAAGATTGAATATTTTTAAGAGTGAAACTAGAAGTGGGCGCGTTCATTTCAATGTTGGCATGTGGACAAGGCTTTGTATAATTTAGCGTGGTTTTGGCTGTTTTTTTATCATTATCGAAAACTACAATTCCAATGTTTCAAGAATTTGTGAAATAGTTGTAAAGTGGTATGCAAAAAAAACATTTGCTAAAGAACTATTCTAAGTGGTTTGTTATTTGTCGTAGGAACACAAAATTTTGCATATGCAAATGTTTCGTTTTCGTCAGTTGTTGAGGTTAGGTATATCTTACTCGTAAGTGACGATTCATACGCGCTGTCTACCGGGATTTATGTACAAGTTGAAGTAAATATGTTTCGGAAAATCGATTATGTGAAAATATCACTTAAACTTTAAAATTTTATGAAATTCGTCACTCTGCTCACGGCAGCGTCGTTTGTATAGGATTTTGGCGCCAAAGCCTTACTAGAGTTCGCAAAATTTTTATATATGCACATGCATATACCTTTATATACATACATATATATATGGACATACATATGCATATGTGTTTGAGTTGTATGCGTCAGAAAATATTTCTAGAAAGCAGCGCTTGGGTTGTTTTTTAGTATTTCGATTATTTCTACACTTTTTCAAATATATTATTTTATATTCATTTATTTTACTTCCTAGAATCTCCATTAAGCAATAACGAAGGAAGCGTTTCACAAATGGCTCAAGAAGGTGATATTCCCACATTCAAATGCGTTTTGGTCGGAGATGGTGGTACTGGCAAAACCACTTTTGTTAAGCGTCATATGACAGGCGAATTCGAAAAGAAATATGTTGCCACACTTGGTGTTGAGGTACATCCTCTTATTTTCCATACAAATCGTGGCGCTATCCGTTTTAATGTCTGGGACACTGCTGGTCAAGAGAAATTTGGTGGCTTACGTGACGGCTATTACATCCAGGGACAATGTGCTATTATTATGTTTGATGTAACTTCACGTGTCACATACAAAAACGTACCCAATTGGCATAGGGATTTAGTACGAGTTTGTGAAAATATACCTATTGTCTTATGCGGTAATAAGGCTGATATCAAGGATCGCAAAGTAAAGGCCAAACTCATAGTTTTTCATAGAAAGAAAAACTTGCAGGTAAGTTTTTTCGAAATAATTGTTTTATTTCTAAATTACAAACATATACACATTTTAAATAATTTTTCAGTACTACGACATATCTGCAAAATCAAACTACAACTTTGAAAAACCTTTCTTATGGTTGGCACGAAAATTAGTAGGAGATCCAAACTTGGAATTTGTTGCAATGCCTGCGTTACTTCCGCCAGAAGTTAAAATGGACAAGGATTGGCAGCTACAAATCGAGAGAGATTTACAAGAAGCTCAAGAAACCGCATTACCAGAAGAGGATGAGGATTTGTAATTTTTTCCTTAATGCCGATTTCACAAATTATCCAGAACACACAATTCTAAAGTTACTGCAAAATCGGAAACGGCGAGAAAAATAGAAGTACTGAGATTTACATTGCAGAAATTTTGATATTTATGGGAAAATAGTTTTCCAAACGTTTCTTTGTTCATCTAATTGGTATTTAAGTTTTTCTATTTTCTTATTTTTAGTGTACAATTTAAATAATTTTGTATTAAATTAATTTGAATAATACTTGGAGGAGTTTGATAAATAATTTTTATTCTGTTAATGTATCCACTCAGGCCTCAATAAACATAAGTTAAAAATGACTTTGGGCTAATAAAATGTGGCGAGTAATTATGGCATGAAGGGTGGTGCTGGTGAAATAAGATTTTTAGCATGCTAACTGCATTCATATTCACAATTTCGTAGGAGCGCAATACTTGAAGTCAAATCGGCGCAGCTGTTTTAATTGACATTTGCAAATCATTTTGCCAGTTTTAAACATCCCTGTTTTCCGATTGAAAGTCATACGGAGCGGAACCGGAATCATACTAAAGTGGATATGTCAGTAGCTTATAGTCCTCAGACTGGTAAAGTGTTCATTTTCATACATAGTTGGAGTAGAGATCTATCTGCTTTGAAAATTGTCTTTTTAATAAGTAAGTATATTAATAGTACGTCTACTATTATTTTTTGATTTTATGTGGACTATTTTTTATTGTAGTATATTGCGAGATAAACACAGGAAACAAAAATACAAAGTGCATATGATAAAGCATATAATAAAGATTCATAGAATTTTGAGGTTAGCATTTTTATTTAGTAAAGTATTCTTTGTCCAAAAAGTTAAGAAGTCTTTATAAGTAAACTCTTTCAAAGTATTTTAAGTAGATGTTTAAATATGCTAAAAAGAGTGCTAAACGTAAATCAAAATTAATTTCTATGTGCAAGCTTCATCAAGAAATACATACATATGTATATACATAAGCATAAGCGGAAAATTTTCTAATGGCTGACTGGATAAACAGGTATGTAGCTCTGCAAGTGTATTTGCGAATATGCATCCTTTTACAACCGTGGTTATATTATTATTTATAAATAATATAACATAAAATATGTCTGATAAGTTTTAAAACAAAAAAATGGCTATGTTTGCCATAAATTTTGCTGTCGCTGATCCTATAACTACATAACCTTAAGGATTATATATTTCTTTTCACTTTAAAATGCACTGGAATTACTATTAGGTATATTGGGCCCAATATACGTTCTTTCCCAAAATGATATAATCATATAAATGGCTTTGATTAATATGTTTTTATTTATAGTATGAATATCTACGACTATTTATACATTATTTGCTTATGTATATGATGAGTACGTGTGCAAGAATATCGATCAAGTATTTTTTTAAAATACTACTGTTTCAAAAGTAGTTCATTTTTCTCTAAAATAATGTTTCACACAAAAACTACTTTTTTAATATTTTTCTAAGTACATCTGCGCTCATAAATGTGTATATCATATACAATAATATTTTGATGACTTATTAAATTATTCCTTTTACCAAATTTTTAAAACTTGCAGCAGTAAAACTTTACTCCTTTCGTACTTAATTGAAAGTGTTTCGGTCGTATTATTTTTCAAACTGAAAAAGCTTACACTAATATCACTATTTCTACCAGCAATTTTATAGAAATTTTGTTTTTCATTGTATATACACAGATCCAATATATATTGAACAATTTTAACAAAACTTGCAAAATTGCAGTATTATTATAAAACTAATTCCAATTTATATTATGATGCACATATGTATGTATGTACATTCATAAATTTTGTTATCGATGATTTGTTCTCTTGATTTGTAACGTTGTATAGAATTTCCATTTGCTGAATAGATATAATTTTATAATTCTTATAGTGCATATCAGAGAATATTGTGCTTTACTTATTGCCCTCAATATTGATTATTTGTATTATAAATCAAAATCGGTTCTCTTTAAATTCAATAAAATTACTATAAACTAAAAATAAGTATATAAGTGAATATCATAAATAAAAATAATATTATGATATTTTGTAACAAACTGTACTGGATACATCCAGATGTGTAAATATGGTCTTTTCTGAGAAATTAACCAACATAATTATAAAGTCAATTGCCTTATTGCACAAAATGCAGTACTGAATTTCAATATGAATATTAAAAATTATTGAAAATATATATGATACTTAAAATTAAACAAATATTGTACTAAAATCAGATTTATTAATAAGTGCCTAATAGCACATAACTTTTATATAAATTTGTATCTAAATTAGTTTTGCTCTTTGAGCTGCTTAACGAAACTTACACACAAGTGTGTAAGTAACATACTCTATTTACAAGTCCGTTCTTTAATGTGAGAATTTTAAATTAAAATTAATAACAAATACTTTCAAACAAATTTTTTCAAATATATACGAATATATTTATGTATATGCATGATTTCAATATGTGCATAAATTTATTATGGATTTTGCGGGTATTCACGCTTTCGCTTATTAGAATTCATGTAAATAGTGCCTATATAGTATATTTATGGAGTAGTGATGTAAATAAATATGTTTTGTATATATGTACACTTTATTTAGAGAGTGTGTCATGAGTGGAATTTAATTTACTTCTGCATGTGTATGTTTACATCTAACTTTATTAGATGTCATCGACGTCACCTCCTATTTTCTGGCGTAAGCATGTGACTAAAAGCATGTATATCATTGATAAGTTTGTCCTGGTGCAAAGGCAATAGTTTTTTGTCACCTAGGAACACATGCATACATATTAAATAAATATATTTTCATATGGGTTTTATGCAATCCTATTATTTTACTGGTATTGTCTTATTATTTATCGTTTTCTGTTCCATTTATTTTATCAGTAAACGTGTATACGTTCTTGTATATGTATGCATGCATTAGCAACTAAAAACTACATTATATGTTTAATAACATACATATGTACATATCTAAAGTTATCGAAAATTATCTCTTATAATGGCCTATAATAACTGAACTATGACTGGCTCAATTAAGCACATATGTTCGGCTCCACGAACTGGCAAGCGATTTAAGCAAAAATGTCGGATCATATCGGGAACAGCTTCAAATGGACGACTAAACTGGCCTAAAATGTATTGGCCTGATTCGTTGCGCTGGATACGCATATGCATAAATCCTTTGGCACCCCTAAATTTATTTCAAATTATTATATATTATAAGTATCTTTGTTGTCAAAACGTTTTCTTTTATATACTTACTTAAGTGAAAGTGAATAGTCTTGCTTGGTGGATTCGCAGTTCCGCACAAGAAAACTTCCTTCATTGAGGGGCCGTAAAGTATTTTCTGCTTCGATGCGAGTAATGGCTCCATGATACCAACTTTATCGAAAATATTGATTACTATTATTTTAACATTAATAGGTAAAATGCATCTTACCCTTGACGCTCAAGTGGTATAGATATGTCAATTAAATCGACAGCCGATGTGAAGCCTTTTCCTATGTTAAGATTGAGTTCTTTATTGTTGGATGAAATACCTCGTAAGTCGAGACTACCAAATTTATTTGTTGGTCGCGGTTCATTGAAATTTAAAGTTAAGTTTTGTCGAAAGATAGCACCGTCTGAGAAAACCGTCACCGTCAAAGAAAACAAATATTTATATTATACTACTCTACAGCTCACATTAAGCGGCATATTTTAAAAAATTATTTACCTAACTTGAGGGAAATTTTGTTTTCATCACGCATTGAATGACTAGAAGATGCTTGTGACAATCCGCTGGATTCAGTACTATGACACAAAAGTCCTGTTTCGGTTTGATTCGTCCGAAGTCGTCTTCTCAGTTTCGGCATGTCAAATGGTAACTCGCCCAAATCTACAGATGTGGCACTTCCGGATGTACAAGCTTCCTAAAAATAAGTAATGATAATCATATGAAGTTAAGAACTGCAGTTGTTCTTTCTATTTAGTAACCTGTTGCAGAGTTTTTTTTCGTCTTAATTTTGGCATATCAAATGGTAAATCACGTAAGTCTTTGGGTACCCCGCATGAGTGGGTAGCAGCCGCACCTGCGCTGGTGCCGCTCTCATTTACTTTGTCAGACTGTGGGAAGTTAAGCTTTGAAAGACTAAAATTTTGAATACCAGCACTCAATTTGGAGTCTTCGCGCGAGTGAAGTGAAATTCCACTGTCCGAACCAATAATTTCATCGGTTAAATTGAGAAGTGTCTTATTTGCGGGCAGCTTCCTTTTCTTTAAGATATCTATCGATGTTTGTTGTAGGGTTTTTGTAATTTCAACATTTAATATTGAAGTGTTGGAACCTGTTTGGAGCTGTTGACCAATTTGCGTAATTTCCTCAGGGGTGGTATGCTGAGTTTTATTTTGTTCTGACAATTCGGAAGCTGGTTCTTGGGAAGACTTGTCTGATATTGGACTTAAGATATGTAATTTTGAGTGGACAACAATAGGTGCTCGCAAAGGGAGCGCAACGCTCGAGGTACCAGATTCAGAGCTATGTGAACTCAACGAAGTTGAGTTCCTTGATTCTGAACTAGAAGTACTTCTATTTCCTTCACTGGTACTCGACCGCAAAGATTCCATGCTGCCACCACTACTCGATGTGGCAATGCTTTCGGTCGAAGAGTAATTATGTGGCCTGCGACCGTCATTTCCCACATGATGGCGATGAGAGACGTGGCTTTTTCTTAGTTCCAATACTCGTCCTGATTCAATAACAAATGAGCGAGGTCTGTTCCGACCTCTTGCACTGTGGGATTGTGTAATATTATGAATGTTTCTTGAAGTTGAAGATGGTGGATTAACGTATGCGCTATCTGTGATGCTATTTTCATTACTAGTACCCACAGATACAGTATGTTGATGTTGTTGACGCAAAGTAGACTGTAGTGGAAGACGTAAGTCTCGTAATCGTGGATGAGCTGGATTAGAATATGGCAAGTTCGGAGCACTTTTTATACTATTCATTAGAAAACGGTCATGTTTTCCAGGAAATTTAATTGGTAATGGAGCAGTTGACGGAGGAGATGGAGTGTATCCACGAATAGGTAATTGCGATGTAGAAGTCGATGGTAAATCCGTTTGTTGGCCATCAATATGATCGCTAACAAGTACTTTTTCGATGCCTGCTGTTATTTTTAAAATATGAGTTTCATAGTCTGAATCTTTCGGAGGGTCACCTTCTGGAGGGAAAGCCGAGAGTGGCGAACCATTTCCACTCGCATTTCCGCCTGAGTTGCTGCTTTTCTCTTGTATGGCATGATTCTTTGAATTTTTTAGCCTCTTACCTTCGAGTCGAGACTTCACTTGTATAGTTTTTGTAGGGCGAGGCTCAGGTTTTATGATTGCATCAGTACTACTGTTCGCCTGAAATAATACAGAGTGGTTTGTAACTCGATCAACCTCGTCAAGATCATCGTCCGATTTAGCTATTTTACAATCAAACGCTGTCTCATACAATTGTCGTGTTCGGCTAGACATTTCGTCGTCGTCTGGCTCAGCAATTGTACAATTTAATTGAGTTTCACTATTCTCTTCAAACACATTTCCATTAGACGATTTTAAATTGTTTATGTCTGGTACACAGTCAGGACATTCATGTACACCATTTGGATGAACATAAAATATACTACGTGGTCGAAAAAATTCGTCAATGTCGTCTCCAACAGTCGGTGCAACACAGGCGCAAATTGCCGGTCCGAACTGTTTATGAGGAGGCATCGACGAATTGTCTTCCACAACTGGCAGAACCTGTAATTTTTCAGTCTGATGAATACAAGTTCCTGTGTTCACACCTGCGTTAATTGGCTGAATATTACATGTTTTTCGAACTAAAGCTAAAGCCCTTGCATGCCACTGTCTACGCTTCTGACATTCACTACAATCAGATTCTTCGGATGTTGAAGTGGTAGGCGAATCGCAACGAATTATATGTACTCCCTCCTCAGTAAATGAGTAGCGTTTCGGTGTCTCAATAGAACCAATGTCTGTCACTAACATTGGCTTTGCAGAGCTTTCATCTTGTTCAATCTGATTTTTATCGTGCTCTTTATCCTCTGGTATGTCAAGACTTGTACTTTTACGATAAAAACCTATATCAATAGATGAATGTGTCAAATGCGGCGGTTCAGACACTGTTGATTGACGGCTTTTATTTTTTGTATCCTTATCGGGCGGTCCTATCTCGTTATCTTTGGGTTTTAATATGTCCGAGTAGTAATAAGGTGACGGATTTCTTTTGCTAGTATCCGATGGTGCAGCTACTAATTTACGAGGACTCCGATATAATTGCGAAGGTAATGCTTGCACAAGGTCGTCGGAAATGCTATCAGGTGAATTAAGTTCAGGAACTTTTATTGATTCATTATTTTCATCACCCGAAGACTTAGGACCTGAAGAATCTGAAGACAAACGTTTATTCCACAATTTTAATCAATATACTTGTATTATATTGTTTCGAACTTACCTGAACTGCAATTAGAACGCTTAGTTATTTTTTGATCTTTAGAGGCGCTAATCTGATGCGCAGGTCGTTGATGTTTGTTTATTCTTCGCTTTATCCTCTTTTGTTTCTGTTTCTTGTGGCGCTTGGAATCTTTAGGATCTGAGTAACCTTCGATAACTTTAATCGATGCGTGCTTTACTGTTGTAGGAAGAGGAGGATGTGGTTGAAGAAGGAATTGCGGTTGCGATTGCGTTTGATTTGGCTGGTTATGTGATTTTAATTGAAAAGAGTGGTTGTTTAATGCTTGTAGGTCAGTATGTTCGGATTGAATAGAATGTTGTATGCTATTCGAAGCATGTGTAGATGGAAGTATATTTAAAGTGGTCTTGTTTGGCGGTAACGTTGATAAAGATGCTGATGGTTGTGGAGGTGGTAGTGCTTCCAAGTCTTGAAATTGTGGCTCTTTCCTTTCGTTTAACGTAATCTGCATAAATATTTAATAAAATAATTATAAAATCGCAAAATTGCATAAGTATGTATGTAATATCTTACAAATTCAGTGTGTGGACTAGGATGAATCCAATGCTCTGGATTGGTTGGAATAGCTTCTGCTAAGCATGGATCAAAGCTGGACGGCCGTTTCTTAACAAAATCAACTGGTAAACTGTAATCGTCACAGATGGCAATCTGAAGTGAAAGCAAAAAAATGTGTTAATATTTGAATTTCTGAAGTGTTTTATTGCTATAATACGAAGGGAATTTGACTTTCGCACCTCAAAATATAATTGTAAACGATATAGTTTCCGACAATCATAACAATACCATTCAAGATATTTGTTTTCGTGCGTTTCCTTACTAGTAGAAGAAGATAACCCAGTACATTTGTCGTGAAATAGACGAGAACATGGTCCTGCACATTGTACAGTCATCTCATTTGATGAAAAGTTTATCCAGCACCGCCGACAAAACATTTTATGTATTTTTGTTTAATATTAACTTTTACGCATCCTTTCTAAAAGAGTTACCGTTTACTACTAACGACATTTTCTTAGCTTTACAATATAATATTTCCTAGCACATAACATTCTCTCCTAAAACAAACCGTATTTAAGGGGACACTCATACATATGTAGATTTCAAGCTCGAGGGTATTAATACATTTTGTAGAGCGAATGTTGTTCCTCTAAAGAAATGCTATTGACTGTGAGTTCTTTACAAATATGAAATATGGCTTGAGTTATTTTTTTTTCGCTGTAAGGTGTTTACATTGCTTAGATGAATGCGTCAAAGGAGAGAGGCGCAGCTCATGTTTTATTTCGCATTCTTTTCATAAGATGTAGCTTGCTCATTAAAGTGACCGCAACTACACTTATATATGTATGTAATATCTTAAGTTTATAGTGTATATTTATATACATATACATATGTATGTAGGTTTTGAAAAGTAAAAAGTGTAAAATAATTAATGATAGTTATCCCAAGTAAATGTTTAATCAAATACTTAAGTAAGCTATTTATTGAGACTTTTTCAGTGATTTATTTTACATATATATTATATATGTGGCTGTGAATATGTATATACATATATATATTATATAACATTTATATTCCAAACTTTCGCAAAATAATATCAATTTAAATTCGCAGAAACAGAACTAGTTGTTCCACAACTAAAACACTACACACTGATGTATGGGCATCCATAGAGAAGTATGTAGGTGATTATTCGGCACATAAGTTTCACAAGTTTTGTGATGACAATCGACTGAGACATTGGGAAACCCCTCAAGCGAGTTCCGAATGTGTCCCATTCTCTTTTTATCACCAACGATGAGTCATGAAGGTCGTGACGAAAACAAGGTATATGCTGCGGCGCTGTGCCTAGTATTTCTTCGAAATTTCGAAATATTTGTACACATGTATGTACATACATATGTATATTCATTGCATTATACTTATTTACATTCGAAGAGAGTAAAAGCGTCTGTGGAAAAGTAATGGCGAATAGAACCGCTCTTTAAAAAAGAAAAAAACTTCAAGTTAAAAAATAAACCATAGAAGTACTTACAAATTATGCTGGGAAAATCAATCTAGCCGCTAGTACGTATTTTTATTGTTTTTAATTAAAGATTCATGCGTATTAAAGGGATCAAAAACAAAAATTAGAATCACGAAATCTTTCCACTGTCGATTTTTTCAACATGTGAAACGATAATCACTGACACACAAGCGGATATACACAAATGCATAATCTTTAATGAAATTATGCGGAAATGGAATATACTGTATATTATCTCACCTTTTACAATTTCCAAGATTCACGAAACCTCAAGACTAGTTATACGAATATTTGTACATTAACAATAAAGTAAATAACAAAAAGGACAAAGTTCCAAAAAAATTTTGTATTGAAGATGGATGGACTGTGCAATAGTTAAAAGCCGTTCCACTCTGTTGCGGTGATATGTACGGTTTGCGTTCTACTTTAGTAATATGCGACTTTTCACTGCTTCTCTTACAAAATTGGATGTATCTACATAGTACATTTCGTTTGTAATTTATTTTCAATTTAAGTTATGAATTATATTCACGAACCGGAAGGTAGCTTTATGTTTTTGTTTTCCTACTAAATATAATAAAATGTTTCACTCATAAATCTGTTTGTTTCACTTGACGTTGACTTTAGAACTGCGGATATAATTTGCAGAAAGACATTTACATCAAATTCAACCCCTAACAGCGAAAAAGTGGGGTTGAAGAGCTGTGAGAGTGATTTTCGATTGCGAAAGCTTTTGCAATACGGATTCAGACTCTCTTTTGAATATTATACTTGAAAGTATGGAAGTGCAATATCGGAGCTAGATTTAAAATATATTATATATATTTTTTTATATTTCGTACGTATGCATCTAAGCAAAAATTAAAACAAATTTGAATGATTCTCCTAGTACATTTACGTACATGTATGTATATACATATGTACATATGTCCATTGTCAGTAATTAAGACGAATGGTTGTCAGGAAATCCGTTTATAATGAATTCAAATTCGTGACACATCCAAGCGTCTTTATGAACTATAATTGCATGCCTTTAAGTGTATGCACACATACATATACGAGTATGCCTAAATATGTATACCTATCATGTGTGTGTTATTGGTCAAAACTTATCATACAGGGAACAAATATATGTAATTTGTGGATGTACATACATATGTACATATGAATCGCCAGTATTTAGCGATTACGCTGTCGCCGGTAGATATACGGCAAATAAGAGTTTGTTCTAAACGCATCTACTATTTTTTCGGTCTTGCATTTGTGCATTCTACTGTAGCTGTGCGCTTTTTTACAGACAATTAATACGTTGTCGGTATGTTCCGACATACCTAAAAGTGTATATGTATATATATTATGTTCGCGGTCTTATGTTAATTGTAGGAGGTTTCTAAAAACTTTTCAACGTTAAATTGGCGGAAAATTACAGAAAAAAACAAGTAAAGTTACCTATAAAGAACATACATTTGCATATTGTCTTCGTATTTTTTGGAGCAAATATTAAATCCAATGCCTAAAAATACAAATGCAGATATTTGCATATGTATGTATGTCATACAAATTTATACTACGTCTGCTTATTAACAGTACAGAACTATTTTGGTTAAAATGAACGCTTATAAAAAGTGTTTACTTTTTCAAAACAAACCACATCAGTTTAAAATGGACGGTTAGTAAGAAAAAATAGGGAATGCCAAAAAAATAAGAGAAAAACATGTGCTTGACAATGATCAATAAGCATAATATTATTTTGACTTGTTTGCCAATTATAAAGTTCTAAATTCTTAAGAGCAGATTCTAATAATAGCGTTGATCTTTTGATCTTATTAACAGTAATACAAAGTACAGTCAAGCCGGATCAAGAGAAACGTGAAAAGTTGTAAACTGCTTGTATAGCGTCATCCCCAAAGTCACAAAACTATGCGCGAATATCATAAAAATATATTCAATAGGTTTTTAAAAGTTTTTATAAAGTAAAGAGGAGAAATTTCCATTACTTTTTTTTTTAAAGAAAATTCAAGAGACATTAAATTTAAAATTGAAATGAGAATGATAAACTTATCCGAGCTTTACTGTACATTGCATGTACATTGCATGTACATACATAATTTTAGCATATCGACTTCCTTGTCCAATTGTATTTATTAATTACATATAACAATGTGCTTGTATGTATGCTCATAAATATCGATAAACTCATTTCGTGAACGCTTTTTAATTTCAAAGCTTGATTAATTTTCTTTAACACGCTGAGATTTTAAGTCACAAAACTAAAGTAGTTCTGAACTTACTGTAATTTCTATATTAAAAATAGTTCCAGAAAGGAGTTTTTATACATTATTCTTCAAGTCTTCTTCGTATTAAATTGTATGTTTTCTTGTTCTTTCGATGTTAGAGTATTGGTGTCATCAACTGACAATTAAAAATCAAACTGCTTGAAGTTAGTCTAAATGAAAGAAGAATAATTTGAAAATCCTATGCCATTTGCGATATTCTGCTATAAAAGAATGTACCGCATGGGTTACAATCGGCAGTCTCTTCACAGTCCCCGTCAGATGCGAAGCAACCGGAACAAAAATTCGTCAGTTGTAAATAAAAATAACAGATCCTAATTGTTTATAAAAATGAAAGGGGTAAATAAAAAGTTAGTGGATATAAATACAATATATACATTAAAACTCTCATTTAGCAAATTGCATTATTTATCTTGTGCGAGTACGTGTTATTTTCAAAAGTTATGAGCCTAGCTCCGCCTTCTTTGAAGTATTTACCGACCGGAAATATTGGTGTTCCCTCTCGCCAATATTTGGTATCTGATCGAGATAGAAACTTGCACTATAAGAAAGTGAATGATGCGCCGAGCGTTACAGAATACGAACGCGATCCTGGTAGTGGACGAACAAGATATGTTGCAACAAAGCAAATACAGGTTCCTATCGTCAAACAGGACTACGTAAGCGATTCAAGTGGAAGTTATAATTTTGGGTAATATTCTTAATCAGAAAGTTGTAAACCTATAGTCAATAGACATGAATATTTTCATAACCCAAATATGTAGATTCGAAACTGCAAATGGTATTCAACGCGTTGAATCGGGGCATGTTTATAACAAGCCGAAAAACTCACTAAACGTGGAAGGTTCATATTCTTACACAGGAGATGATGGTCGTACGTATACCGTTAATTACACAGCTGATGAAAATGGATTTCATGCAGAAGGTGATCATTTACCAACGCCTCCGCCCTTGCATAACCACAATGGTGTAGAAGGAACTTTCTCTAGAAGTGGTTCTCAAAACAAAGCCAATGTGTACTCACCGTCGATTCAATATCTGCCACCACAGCATTTTTATTCAAAGCGGCATTAGAAAGATATTATTAAAAGTATTTTTCTATATTTTTTCGAGATGGCTGGTCAATTAGTATCATATTCATATTTAGTGATATACATATGTATGTGTAGCGTAATAGATACTCCTTTCATTGTTTACGTAGATTTAAAATGAAAACTTTTTACTTGCATTTTATTTAAAGTTTTAATATCCTACCTGTTTTTTCATCGTATCTGTTAGTTCGTCGATACACTCCTTTCTTTCGAATCTTTCGAATTTGAAGCTATTAGAGCGATAAAGTTCGTTATCTTCATGTCGTCGATTCCGGCATAACCGTCGCATTATAATATTACCACTGCCACCTCCTCCAAGTCGTGGACTAGTTTAAATGAAATAAAGTAGACTCTAATAAGATCTCAGTATTTCAACAAATAATGAAGTACATAATTATTTGGAGCAACGAAAGTTCTCACATAAACTTTGCATCATATTTTAGTGACTGCAATGAAAAATATAAAGTTTTAAATCCTTCACTTTGCTAGATGTTACATTGTTGCACAAAGGAAATTATTGAGGTTCTGTTAATAGGGTTTGGAAATAGTCAAGCAAAGCAAACATCTGCGTAATTTAAAAAGTCGTATTTTGGCCTTTCGTAATAGGTATGTACCATCATGTATGTATAAGTCTGCAGTAACTGTACATTAATACATATGTACATAGGTTATTTATATGACTTAATTTATTTGCAGCTGGTATTATTTAAACGGAACCAAATTAGTTATTTTTGAAGTTTTCGTTTACAAATATAAGAGAGTTCATATTATATAATATAATTTAATATTAATATTTTTGTTGGGAATAGTTCGGGTTTTCTAAGAAACTAAATGCTCTTATGAATACAAAAGCCTAAATCGGTTAGCAATATCATGAAGGAACCCTTAATAAATATTTAAACGGACGAATAGGACTAACAGAACAGAATTATTAAGAATTACATTAACTATGTCAAATATATTGAGCTCAAGATTCGTTATGATTATGTATAAATTTCATATTAACTACTAGCGTACCCGCATGGCTTGCAATGAGTCATGTGCAAATCCCAGTTAAGGTGAAAATTGAACATACGAAGTTTCGCTACGGCTCGTTGCCGCAACGATATGTCTGGAGTAGCTGATATCGCTGCTGCTGTTACTGTAGTGGTAATACCCGTTTCTGCTTGGTTAGAATCCACTTCCCGACCTGTATTAGGGTACATCATAACTGTGCCACTGGGTGCAGAGGTAGCCATTACGCGGCTTGACGAAAGCCTTAATTGGCGGTGATGACGGTGACTCCCAATTGTGGCATCAGAAGAGTCTTTTATTGTGTAAAATCCACCAGACGATCTAAAAATTGTTTTATTTATTTTTATTCGTTACGAAAACATAAGTAATCCAATGAAGACTTACGACATGTTGTCACCACCGCCTCCTCCGACACAACTGACTCCACTTCGTCGCGAACGACTTTTACGACGACGTCGTCTGCGCCGATCAGATGATGCATGGCTATGGAGGACGTGTTGGCTCAGAGATTTTGGATATTGCGACATTATATTCTTTCCCTCGTTAGCTGTTGTGGGTCCACTGCCTACCGTAATTAGACCGCTTGCTGCCAAGCGACGCCCAGTGGCAGTACTGGAGGGCATGTTGCCGGTGTTATTTCCACACCCAGCTGTCATTCCCATATTGCCATCGCAAATACCTCCCCCTGAAGTTGTTGTGTCAGCAGCTTGTGTGACGGTTGCTGTTTTTGACGAACGACCACCAAAGCTGTGATTAACTTTGCGCCACATACGTTCCATTTCAAAGAACACATACGTTGATTGAAGGGGCTTGCAATATGCACGTGATGTTCGAAAGTAACTATGACAAATAATGTTGATAGAGCGCCGATCTTACTTTTTAATATAGTAAGGAACCATATAAGTTATTATTATTATTTTGTTTGAACTATTTATAAAAAAAGGAACCATACAAGTCGATTTTGCTTGATTATTTATGTGTTTTTTATTTTCTAATTCATCAATTGTTACTAGAGTATATACATATGTATGTATATATTTTGTAATTATTATATATTTTTATTTATTCGTCACGTTTGCAGCGCTGCTGTGAATTTTTAAATTTCGATGCATTTATATGTGTCTATGAAAAGTTTGGTGTACATAGGTTTACATATGTACATGCTTATTTTTTTGGGGTATACTCTATAAACTAAATTTATTCCAAGTAAAATTACCTCTGCAACATTTCAGAGAATAATTATAATTATTATAAAATAACACAACTTTTTTGAGAATTGTCCTAATAAAAAAATGAGTAGACACGATTAAAGTCTGTCTACTGAACTGAGCACCTTAAAGGAATCGCATTGTCATTGCAGGAACTTAGCTTTGTAGTGTACTACAGTTTCTGCCAGGATGTTGAATAGTTTTTTCATATACTTTTGAACAGTTATTACACTACTAGTTTGAATTATCAGAGGCATTAATTAACAGGATATCGAAGGAATTGTATCAACAAAAATGTAAAGACCATACACATAAATATCCCTTTTGTAACGTATACACCAAGGATAGGCCGACGGATTTTCTCCTGTGGTGAACACAATCACTCATTTTAACAAATCATACACATTTTTCCAAATAATCGTCGTAAAAAAGACAAATATGTGCAATTCTGTCTTTATTAGCTTACGAATATTGAAATATATTTTATATATTAATTGACAATTATGAAAATGGACACGTTTTTTGGAAAGTATTAAATTTTTATGCACTGATGTATACAGTACTCGATTCTCGGCAAACCCTTCTGCACGAATAAAATTTCCACCATAGGAAAGGTTTGCTCTGTTGGCTCGAGCTTTTGATAGAAAAGCTTCTCGCTCACTCGCCACCTGTCAGATGGAAAACATCAACGATTTCAATGCATCCTTTGGAAGGTGGTGGAATTTCCTTTACAATTTATTCGAAATCAACCCTCGCACAATTCAAACGATTCGTACTTATTATACTGAGAGTTGTATTTTGCTCTGTAGAAGCGCGTTTTACTGTGAATACATGATTTTCGAAAATTATTCGTTTGTTTATTAAGATTTCTGATTTATAAAATTATAAGCATATATATGTATAGGCATTCATATCTACATATACTTTTGTCATACCAACTTTTTTTTTAATATTTGCAAAAATAAGAATATATTTTTAGAGCTGTTTTAATTATTTGAATTGAACTCGTCGTACAAATTCCAATTCGAATATAATAAGCTAACAATAACACAAAGCAGCTAATATATTTGAATTAGTACTTTTTTAAAATGTTCTAAGTCTTCTTAGTATGCAAAAACATTTATAAATTTGAATGTAATTAGTTTAATATATAAGTATGTATACAATATGAATATTTAATGAAATTAAATATGTATGTATATATTTTCATATACATACATATTATGTTAAGTACTTATCAGCATTTCTAATTCCTGTGTACATATCAAAATTATACCAACTTTTGTTACATACGTATAAACAAATATGTTGAAATAGAAAATTGGTCTTTGCGTTATAAGGGCGTTCTAATCAGATCAGTTTTATACAGCATTGCTCATATTGTAGATGAATTTAGAAAATGCCTCATAAAAATTATTTAGGCAGTTTCTATATACTTTTTGTGTGTCTCTTTGGACTTCCGATATCGCGCGATATGACTACTATCGCGTTTATCATGTGGAATTATCTACGCAACAACGCGTTGTTTTATTCCAACAGTTGCATATTTTTTGGTCATGCACGGCTTCCAGTTAACTGTTATGGTCGCTCCGCATAATCCTCCCTATTGTCAATCCAAATGGTTTATAAGTACGAGTATACATTCGAAGGTGATCGCATGTGGCGTAAAAACCGCGAGCTCTTTGGGATCTGTCGTGATGTATTTAAATAGAAATGTCCCATTTCATTGGAATTCTACTGCATCTAGTGGCGATCCTTGTCGTTATGATTATAAAGGACTTTCGGCAGCGAGGGAAATGGAAACCAAACAACTGATAAAGTATCTTCAAGAAAATTTGATACTTAACAATATAAAGACTTTTATTTCGTTACATTCATATTCACAAATGATTATGTTCCCTTATGGACATACAGCAGATCGTGTAGAAAACTATGATGATCTTTCAGCGATTGGAAGGAAGGCTAGTGAAAAGATAAAACAAGTATCCGGACGCATTTACAAAAGTGGTAGCATTTATGAGACCATATATCCATCGAGCGGTGGTTCAATAGATTGCACCCGTGGAGAACTGAAAATTCCCATAACTTTTTCATTTGAATTGCGTAGACCGCCCGACAGTAAGGACTTATTTATTCTTCCGGCTGCAGAAATCGAATATACTGCGCAAGAGGCACTCGCAGCAATAATGACGATAATAGAAGAGTCTGAATCAAGGGGATATTATTCGTGAAATTATAGCGCACATATACATATGTATGTATATATAATATATAATACATTTCAATACTCACTGTTTTATTAAAATCGAATTTTGTAAATTAGCGATTGATATTCTAGAATTTATTATTTCTTAAATGCAATAAATTTATTTTGATTTACTTCGATCATTAACAAGTTGCGTTTTATAACTTTCATTTTGTTTTAACAAAGTTAAATACCATAAAGACTTAAAAATACTTAGCTTTCGTCATCATAGAGTGATTTCGTACTCAACCCTCGTTTCGTGGAATCTCCCTATGATGTTTTAATGCCTAAAGATAAATAGTAAAATACTCGTAACATATATATACATATGTACATAATATAATACTTTTCCACAAAGATATTGTAACAAATTCCAGCTATGTTACTGCGTTTGGTAATTATGAATTTTGTTTAGTCAAAAGCTTTTACGTACATAATTATTCCCAGCATACATTAAAATGTTTACATTTAATCTATGTTTGCTGGCGGATTAACTAACATTTGTGTTTTTCTAATTTATTAGAATCTAGTCTTCATTTGGCACTGTGGTGTTGCGCACAGCATTCATTTGTATACGATTTTCCCATTCCACTATGAGCCGGTGCGAAGAGGGCGCCTCCTCAGGCGGTAGATCACACAACTGTGCCAATGACATAGCGGGGCGCATCGTGCCACCTCCGTTTTTTTTCAAATCGTAATCTGGACTAGGAGTTGCTCTAATAAGAGTTTTTATGTTTAAAATGGTTAAACAATAGAATGTGTGTATTCTTCCTACCTGGGAGAGATGCTATTATTTAATGATGTGGAGTAGGAGATTTCACTGACAGACTTCGCCGAACGCAGTTGTCTAGGTCCAAGACAATGTTCTATTTCGGAATCTTCGTCATCTGTTTGTTCATTGCTGCGAATATATATGTAGGTATTTGTTTAAATTACGAAATAAATACAGTTTAAAACAAATTAAGTGACTTACTCGTTTTCAATTGACTCTAGTAAATCGGAAGTAGATTGTCGAAATTTGTTGCGCTTTTTCAGTTCATGCTCACGCGCTTGTAAGTCCTTGATCTCTTTCTGAATCTTCACCTCCGCTGGTACATAACCTCGCCGAATTACTCTACCTTCTGCATCCCGTTCGATTTGTGGTGGAGTCATGGTAACCGTTGGTATGATTATCGGAGGAGTCAAGGCTTCATGCGTCATTGCTGGATGTAATGCACTTGACACAACTGTTGGTGGCGTGATAGATGATGTGATATTTTTGTTTAGCAAATCATTTGCGGTTTTTGGATTTAATATAATTTGGTTTGTTGTTGCATAATTGTTGCCTAGTTGTAATTTTCCTCGAGAAGCTATAAAGCGCTGCATGACCCCTTTGTTTGCAGGATTAAAAGCAAAGATACGTTGCCTATTAAGAATAGGGGGTGTACAAGTAACCGTGCTCGCGATCATCATTTGACGGGGTGGTTCTGGTGTAATTGTATAGAAATTCGGACCAATATAACGTTGTTCTTTTGACGGCTTCATCGGTTCTATGTAAAGAGGAGTAGCTGAGATGCCATTTGTTGGACTTGGCGACGCTGATATTCCTGAGTCCTCGTCAATACATTCTTTACTATTAATGCTATTTTTACCACGTGATAAGGAATCTTCGCCGTTATTCAAAGAAGAATGTGGTAAGGGACTGATTGATAGACTATTGGAGCTATCATTGTCATTATGACCGTTATTACTGTTAGTAATGTCATTTTTATTGTGTATTTCGTATTCGTCTGTTGATGTGAGGGAACTACCGGTGATAAGTTGGCGATGTTCTTCTTCGCGACGTACGACTTCTTTTATTTCTTCTTGAATGCGGATCAACGGATCAATTTTCTGAAAGTGATAGAAGAAGAAATAGGTGTTTATGATTGTGTTTTTGTATTGCACTAAGCCACAAAAGATTGCGTCTCCTTATTATTACTTGCCAAATCATGCATATATCACGTCAAAAAATTTATCAAAAAATCTGCCCTGCAAAGAAAACCATTACCAAAATAAGGCTATGTGTACATTAGGCTTGAAAGAAATTTCTAAAAACACCTGCCTACAATTTATTTGTGGGGATAAAATGAGGGCTTTTTCTAAATTGCAATTACAGATATCTACATATATATATACATTATACATAAGAATATATTGCATGTGTATCTTTACCTTTCGGTATCTTAAAATACATAAATATTTGCTATCGTATCTACCTTCCATTTGATGGAATTATTTTGGCTGATAATTATTGGTTCCTTACGAAAGCTTTTGTGATTAAGTAACAAGTAAGTTATACGTAAACGTGGAAGATGAGAATGCATACATACATACACAGCTGTCATTCGAAAAAAATTTATATTTCCCAACATGCACAGGTTCCGCATACGAGTAGATACATTAGAGCGGGTCGTTTTTCTTTCTATACAACCGAGTATGCGGGAAATGTTCTATCATTCCACAAAAACAACTTTGCCTTGGAGACTGTGTGTTTTGGACACACTTTCGAGTCAGCGATTTTTCAAAAGAAAGTTTTTCTTTAAGGAATTATAAATGACGAAGAAGTCAACTGTATACTTCTTCGTCATGTATAATTCCTTATCTCCCATACAATCAAATATTCATTTTTTGCCTTCAATTGAAAAACTAAGAGCTCGAAATTTTAGTAAATTTAGCTGAATAGTCTGACTGAACTGTAGAAGATTTATTGCATACGCAAAATTTCCGTTTTTTGGCTCCCTGTAAATCAACCCGTTCTAATATTCTTACGTACATATGTATGTACATGTCTTATTGGTTTGTCGGCAATTTTATACTTAATTTGATTAATTGTGTGTTGAGTTTGCACAGGACTCCGGTTTGATAGCATTATTTTTACACCATTATGCAAATCGCTTACATACAACGATAACGAAGGAATTATAATATTTTCTTATTGATAAATATATTTAATATTTTCTATTACTAATAATTGAAGAAGTCGCGAATATATTTCAATGCTTGATCAAATCTCATAGATGTTTTGCTAAGGTTGACCTTTTGAATATATGTAAGTACTTACCTTCCTACTTCAATAAATTATACGAACTATGTTTATGAAATTTCATATTGAGGTCAAAACATTCGGTTCAAAAACCATATTGTACAATATGCTGTGTAAAACTTTTAAATATTGTCAAATATTTTATCGCACAGATGAGCGCAATGTCCAAAAATAAATTTAGTCATATCTTTATATTAGATTGATATATATATAAAATCGAGATTATCTTTCAAAATGTGCAATGACATTTTTAAATGTTGTTACAGTTTCGGTTATTGCATTTATGCGCCAAAATTACCTTTACTATTTTTATGATCATTACTGTTTGGTACAAAATTCCTTTCAAAACCTTGTAATAGCTACCGAAAATAAATATATATTTGTTCGTATAACAGAATTAGGCAATTATCTCGTTTGGCAAAGTTTTTTCCACATAAAAGAGGTGTATTGACGAAATTTTAGAATGACTCATATCTACCACTTGCCATAATTGCTCTGTTCGCCGATAATAATTACAAATACACGAACTTCCATTTTCGAAATGTGCTAATATCTTATCAACTCGCTCGGTACATTTTTTCATTTTAAATTGCACATGCTTTTTTAGATAAAGTTGTGCAAATTCACCGCCAAACCAATATGTATGTGATGCATAGGTACTACATTTCTCATACACATATTTGCTTTTTCCTCGGATTTTAATTTGCTTACCAACAATTCATTTATTGAACACTTTTGTTATCGGTAGAACTATAAAAACAAAAACCACAAACAAAGTTATATTTGTTGATAAGTTTCTAATTTGCGATAAGGTGACAATGAGTAAAAAGAGAATAAATAATTGTTTATAGTATACCTGTGTATGCAGTATGTATGTATATGAAGTACCTGAATATTATTTCGAAATTCTCTTTAATAATGAAGGCTAGCTTTAGAGGTGTACATTCTATGTATTATATAGATACATGCATATGCTATATATCAATCCATAAAAGTACGTGATTTTAAATAAACATCATTACTACATTTCTTGATAAAAATGTAATAATTTTAACGTGAATATACATGCATATATTTATTAAAGGTATATATGATAAGCTTTCGAAGTCTGAAAACGCATGAGTGGTGTTTATTCGTATTTGGCTTAGTTGCGTTAAACGACACCCTAAAATTAGAGATTCCGTAACCATTACTAGTGAATAATAGCTGAGGTCTTTGTCTGGGCTAACTGTTGAGCGTTAACACTGCATTCACAAATGTTCAACATTTGGCTGTTGCTGCATCCGACGGTAGCTGTTGTAGAGTGAAACTAACTGTTTCAGTTTGCTTTAATTAGATGTGAAAATATTTTCGAAACAGTACTTTTGTAGAGGAATAATGAGAGCTTCAAACAAGCATTCACCAAAGCCATTTAGTTTTACTTTCGTTGCTTTTGAAAACATATTCATGTAACAGATACATATGTACATACATGTGAACACATTACCACATGGAACAGTGTATACTTACATATGTATATACATACATATATGTATATGAATGAGATTTTGCTTAATTGTAGTACAGGAATTGACATCGCACATTTGAATTGATTCCGTTATATCATTAGTAAATTTATGTTGAATTACTTCATCTGATAAAAAATATTAGCTAAATACTCAGCTGCGAACAAACTTTAGTTATGGAAAATTCTGGAACAGGTGAAACTTAATGAATGTAATGTAAGAATGTTAAATTTGTTTTACTACTTTTGGGAAAATTAAGTGAACAGACCTAATAGCGACTAAACAAATCTGAGTGTCGCCCAATGCTTGGAATTAAATTTGGAGACAGAATTTCGGTTCACAAATTATAAAAATGTGTTGTCATGGGCTTAGGCAATGTTAACAAACTCTCTATCAAGGTTCATTTTCCTACTTTCTTATTTTCGATGATCTCGTGTTTTGTTTTTTATGTTTTGTTTTAGTTTACATTTTTATAGGTCATGGACGAATAATAATTTCAACAAAATTAACCGTACGGTCGTTACAGTATGCATACATATATTATGTTCATATACTGAATTTTATATGTAAAAGCGCAATATATCACTGCCATTTTTTGCCAGTACGCCTGCAAATGATGGGAAGTTAATATTGTTCATAAATCGGTTCAGTAACAAGTTTAAATAATACAAGTTCAAATAATGCATAGCATTTGCCTATGTACATACATATGTACGTATGTTATTAAAATAGTTCAGAGGTGATTGAACTTCTTTAGACCGTTGCGATCAAATCTTGAGTACATATGTATGTATGTATTTCTTTTAAAAACTACATATGTACCTAAGTTTATCGTATACGCAAGATTGTACCCACATTATTCACTTTTTCACCATTTCATTTTTCAGCATGAAAAGAAGTAAATTAACTTTCCGTCTTTTCTTTTTCGTAGGCCGATATACCAGTTTCTACTTTGATGGAACCTGTGTTGGCTTTGCCATTAACAGCATCAATACTAACGCGAAGCACTGCGGCTTACAATTGCCACAAGTCTTGGCATTGTTTGTTTACCTCGCTATTCAGTGGCACGATCTTGTACTCTAACTTGGTTTTGATCGTGGCGGTTGCCATTGACAATACGTTTATATGAATATGTGGAATGTTTTATGCTTCTTTGTTTTGCAAACGATTTAGGAGCATAGTGAAATTTCTACTACATACTATATGTTAGTTGTTATACTCACAATAATTTCTAACTCTTGTCATGCTAATTATAAGATTATTTCGAATTGAAAGTTTTTTTTTATTTATCATAAACAAAGCATGAACTAACGGAAAGATCACTGGCGAAGTAAAATAAGAAAGATCAAGAATAGTTTGCATTCTCTTTTCCAAGTCATTACCATACTTATACATAGTAATATTATTTTTTACTTATATACGTGTGGTACGTACATAAGTACATGACTATTAAATTTTTATGTGGTCGAAAAGTTTTTCCATAAGGAAAGAGTAGTATATCTTTTCTTACACTTACTCTAGAGGAAAATCGCTGATTGTGCATGAACACGAATAAATTACTTGGTTTCAAAAATGAATTAAAACGTCCACGATTTTCTTGACTTTGTTTATTAACTTAAGAGAAAATGAGCCTTATTTTTAGATACTTTCATTTACATATATACATACATAGATATACCCCAGAAACACCCCTAACACAATAAATATTTACAGCATACTTCTTACATACCTAGATTTGTATGTATGTATTTGTACATATTTAAGTGCAATAACAGTATAAACAAGTGTTTCCTTGTGAAACAGAATATTTACATACATACGAATGTAAGAATGATTTTACGAATACATTCACATGATCGTGGTAATGAAGGTGAATTGAAAAACACACCATCTGTCATAAACAGAAACTTTGGCTTCTGCTAAAATAACTCGCAGTCACCAACCGTAACGTATCCAACCAATGAATGCGACCGGGATCCATTATGGAACAAAACTAAGATCGTTTTCATATGCTAAAAACTGTTACCGGCATTGATGGCTTCTGGTATATACATATCTACTTACTTATGTAGATCGGAACTTCTGTACGTACGAATGTATGTACAAGTATAACTTACGCACCTTTGAAATCTTTTAAGGTTTTATTCTAGAGAGTTTTCTTGTTAGTTTTAATTGAGCACGTATAAAATAACTGTATTTTAAAACCTTATCATGTACATATAAATGAACCCACATGTACTGATTTCCTATTTGATAAATATTTTCGAAATGCAACAACACTTACCTCACTTTTGATTTGACCCATGATAACTAACTATTTATTAATGATAAAAACGAATGTATTCCGATTTGAAATCAAATTAAAAATTCCATTTTACAAAATAAGTATGACTTCAAGCGACACTAGCTATAGATCCGAACGAAAGTTGGCAACAAACTAAATTCGAATACGTTGAGAAAGCAACCAATTCTTCTACTTCCAACTTCACGCTCCCCAACATGTAACAGAAAAATTACTCTCTCAATTAAATGCTTGTATAATGAGCTCTGAAAATCAAACAAATTCACCACACAATCGTGAAGGCTGCCACTTTAATAGTTAATATTTAATAACTAACTTCTGGAATAAATAGTAAATTAATTAACTTTAGTGGAACTTAAATGCAATTTAATGAAGGATTTGATGTTTTTGATGAATATGTAAGTTGAACCTATCAAAAATCTTTAATAATTTTAAATAACATGTACATAGTATATTTAGGAAATACATTATGAAAATAAATTTGAAATAAGTTATGGTATCAGCTCACATACACATACATATGTATGTAATAGGTATAAATTACTATATTTGATTGTTTTTATGGAAAAAGAAAGTCAAATTTGAGTACTCACCGCGAACTGTATTCATAAATTGAAACATGAGAATTTGTGATTACGTCTACAATTTATTGCGATTGTAAATCTGCAACTCATATTATTATATATTTATATTAAAAACTTCATTTTTAAAGTTATTAATGCTAATAATTATATTAATTCTGATGAGCTTGCTTAGCTACAATAACATTAGCAGCTTAAATCTGCAAACGTAAGTATGTATGTATGTGAATGTAGTGTGTGGGAATTTCAAGCTAGATTTCATTGCTAAGTGCAGCACAAACTTAAATATAGTATACGCAGTTCATTTTAAAGTCAATATAAATATTTCTTCTTCCAAATATTAACAACTCTCTTTCAAATTAAAACTGAAATGAAATAAAAAAAAGAATTAACTTTGCATATTCTGTATACGCGAATATTATGAATTGGCTTTACAGTTCGAACTTTTTAATATGCTGTGAAAGAAGAATATAGATACAGATGTTCGGAAGTACAAGACTCAATCTTATTTTAAATCGTATAAAAGTTTAGAACGTCCTTTTTCTTTTGTTCGTTAAGCGCTCATTCAACAAGTTGTTGTTTACATGTTGCATGATACGGTACTTTTACGATTGTGAATTTAGTTTTCGGTAAATTGTCTGCTAGAATGAATTCCACCTTGTCTAACGGCAATATTTCAATTTGGGGTACATCGCTTGGCACTGACTCCTCTTTTGGCTTTTCCATTTCTTCATCATCTTCATCGTCAGCGGTAGGTGCGCCTGGCACTGGTTTCAGTACCGGAATACATTCATCAAAGTGATGTTTCTCTTTTTTAGTTGATTCTTCGCACTGATCCACATACAAAGCAGTGACGCGCAACAGTTCAACCGTCACACCCCACGTAAATACTTTCAATGTGGAAGCCACTTGTTGGACAGCATTCAAAACAATGTGATTCGTGGTCGCTGATTGTGATATATATGTCGGAATGATAAGTAACTTCCGAAGGTTGGTACAAAGTTGTAATTTTTCATCAAATCCAGCTTTAATGTCGAAGTTGACAAGTTCAAGTTGTGCAAGTTCCTTTAGTTGTGCGACGACGTCTAATATTTCCAGTGTACAACAGCTTGTCTCTTGTCCATTTTCAAGACGTAAGCGGCGCAGATTTTTTAATTTCGGAAGTACAACCTTTGCGAATGTTGAATCAAAGTCGCCGCATTCACCTAATTCCAAAGAACGTAAATTCACAAGTTCACTAAGACCTTCGACCCCTTTAGCACCCAACTCGCGTACGGCAGTTAAAGACAACTGGTTGAGTTTTTTTAATGATTGTAGGGATTGCAAGTTGCCTGTAATTACACCTGGTTCACATGTGCGGAGACGCAGCTCTTCAAGTCTAGTTAGCATTCCAAGGTGTTCAAGATTTATAGAATCATCATTAATGACAACAGCATTTAAAATGCGTAGGTTTTTGTTGCTTTGAAATAAACCTTCAACAATACGGGCTGAGCAACGACATAAATCGATAATTTCTAATGAAAAGACAGTTCCAATATGTTCAGAAAATTCTTGCCACATTTCTTCACCGCGCGTACTAGATACCAACATTTTTCTAAGGTCCAAATGCCTGGTTTCGCCTCGGCGTAATGCAGCAGCAAATCCCGCCCAGCTACTCACTCTGGAGTTTTTCATGCGAACTGTTTGCCATAAAGATGTATCCTTTGCAGCAAGATTCCACAGTTTACACACTGAAGCTGCGCGTGGACGTTCCTATAGAAATATTGTTGAAACTACATAATTTGAATTCATAATATTTGGGTTCTTTGAGTTTTTCTTTAATGAATGTACTTACGTGAATTTTCAAATACTTAAGAATGCAAAGTAATGCGTCATAAGCAAAAGATACATTTGCAAAAAAATTTGTCGCAAACGCTTTGTTTGATTGATCTGTTGTAGTTTGGGTGGGTGAAATAACGAGAGTTTGAATAGGCGCATCTAATGAAACTGTGGATGTTTTTCGATTATTTCGGATGCTTTCATTAATTTGTTTCAGATCATTTTCGATATCGTTGACATGTCTGTAATTAAAAGAATGTTTCAAAACTTAATCTCAGACTAAACTTATAACTTTAATTATGAAAATATTTGGCTCGCTCTCGCTATTGTTTTCTTTCTTAATTATGGGAGTGGGGGAAATTTTTTCTTGTGAGACACAATACGTTCGCACACTCACTCAGTTGTGGGAGCAATTGGTTTGGCAACCATCACATACTTTTTTCCTTTTACTACGGCAATTGTTTGAGGATACTTATTTTCAGGACGTGTGGGGCGAGCGTTTGTTGGTTTACGTGTTACCACTTTTGTTGATATCTCTGGAACAGATGTACAAGCCTATAATATGGGAGCAAAATCAATGAAATTCACAGAAATATGAGAATGAATATTAAAGCGTCACCTCGCAAATATATTCACGTCCCTTCGTTTGGGAAATGCCCTCTCCAGTAATACGATATTCACTATTTGAACGGTTTAATCCGACACACTCATGATGAAATAGACAGAGGCATTTTACACATTTCAGTTGCGGAATATGTCCAGTTGCTCGTGAGCATTTGATTGTGCATGGTTCAAGTATTGCAGTGGATTTAATATTATTTACTGATGCTGCATTTGACTGATATGTTGCAGTCACATTTGTAGTGATAGATCCCCTTAAAACCAGAATTCAAACTTTCTAATGAAAATTGCCAGTAAAATATTTAAATAAAAATGAACAATTGCTACTTAATCCAACAAAAAAAATAAAAAATAAAAATTTGGGTTTTTGTTACACATTTTTGGAGAAATCATGCCACTATAAGTAATTACATACAGAAAACAACAGCTACAAAAAAAAAAATACTAACGAGAGCGAGAAATAAATATGTTATACTTCAATAAAATAATACTTACTTTTTTAATTTACTGCTTTTATGACTTGTTCCACTACTGGAACTGGCTTGCCGGCTACTTGGAGGTGTACCAGGAGTCGAGTTAGTGATATATCTACTCGAGGCAGTACCACTGAGCAAAGCATTATTCACTTTAAGCGCTCGCGTTGGTGTCCATCCTTGTGGAGGCGGACTTGCCCCCTTGGGACCTTTAGGTTTAGAAATTCGTTTACCAATATTAGGAGTTGGTGCTGCAGCGATTGTAGCAGCCGCTGCTGAAACTCGTGAAGACGGCTTTGCACTGCGCACAGTCTCGAAATCCGACCCAACACCAAGAGGCTCTCGAGCAAAACTGAAATGATCTATAGTTAGATCACCCTCGAGTAAAGGCAAAATATCACTCCTTGTTCGCAATTTTTTACCACCAGGCGATATAAAGTACACATCAGCTTTATCTTTACTTGATTCTATATTTGCACGCCATACTAATTCACGTTTCCAACCATAATCAAAAGGCTTTTTATAAAAATCATTTTGAGCTGACAATGGCTTTTTGGTCACACCTATTCCACTTGGAGTTGCGGAACTTGTTACCACATTGATATTTTTCGTAATGTGGCTTTCAGTTTCTTCATTATCAGCCACTATATGCTCCGATTGCTCTTCTGGACACTTTTCTTCTTTTTTAACTTGTTTTTCCTCAAACACCTTTACCAATGACGAATCTTTCGAAGATACTTGTAATCCAGGTGAAGTTCGTGATGGAGAAGCATTTGTTTTCTACGAAAAAATAATATTTTTTACAATAACTATTTTTGATCGGAAAAGTTTTAAAATTAATTAGTTAAAAACCTGTTGAGCAAACTTACTTGCTTCACTTTTTTGCTGGTTTGGGCAATTGAATTTGGACTTTCTTTATTTTCATGTTGAACAATCGTAACTTTCATTAGTGTTTCTAAATCCGCCTTTATAACCTTTGGTTCTCCACTTTGCTCATCAAATCCTAACAAACATTCTTTTGAATCTGAATGGTGTATTTCGTAGCGTTTTCGTTTGAGTGACATATTAATTGCATTAATTTTCATATCTCTATTTTGAGTATTTAATATTGATTGTTGACGCTCTGCGGAGCCAGTGTCACGACTATCTTCATCCTCTGTACTGGATACTTCTAACTTTAATGCCGACTCCAAATAAGGTGTATCATCCTCGTTTTTATCATCGGAATGTATTTCCATATTTTCTTCTTCGGGCTGTGATTCTATCTCAAAGGAATCCTCCACGTTTTCGCTTTTCTCAACAGGCTTTGAACCATTACGTTGCTCTATGTGACTGGTTGTACGAGAACTACCGTTCTCTGCTAACCAGCGGGGAGACTCTGCCCGTTCAGCGTATAGCGCATCTCTTGTCAGGCTAGATGCATCATCCACTTCCATTCTTATATGATGAAAACTTTGCTTCCTTTTTGGTGAAATTTTCGCAAGTTTTGCTCAGCAACCGCTTATTAATTCCCAAATTATCTATCTGATACACTTCCTACAACAAAGGCAAAGGAAGGTGCTGACACTAATGCTAATGTTTGACGTTTGCTTTGCCCGCTTTTTCCACAATGATGAGGTTATGTTTTGTTTGCGACGTTACGTTTTTGTTATTCACTTTTCGTCTTCTGTTTCGCAATTAGGCTTTCCAGTCGTAAATAATTATTATTGTATTTCCAAAAACTTTGATTTCGCGAGTGAATGTGTTCTTGGTCTAATTTAAAGAAAATTTAATTTCTTAAATAAATAAAACAATTATGTTGTTACAGTACATTATTTTATAATACAGTGCAAAACAAACGGTTTAAACGAATTCTTTATTCTTGTTGTTTTTCTGACGCTTGTCGGAAGTGTTACCAAGTGCATCAACAAACGAAAACCGAAAAGAATGAGAGAGAAAATACAAAATATAAAATTTTGCATCAATGTAAAAATGTTGCCAGTACAATATTTTAGTTTAAAATTTTTAATAGGCATTGTGTAGATGAATACATTTCACAATTAACTTATAGTTTCATATAAAACCCTTTGTAACTTTGATTTAATTCGTAACCCAACAAGAACACTTTGAAAAAAATTACAATGTTTTTGGAATAGATTTAATGCCAGTGCTACCAATTTAGTGAAATGCAACCAATCAAGTCAAGATGGTATCGCTATTTTTGCATTCGGATGCTAAACTTTTATTCGTTCCCGCTCATTTCCTATTGGAATGCAGCTACAAATTGTTCATATCGTCACCCATTAAATGACCTTAAGTAAATTAATTGGAAAATAAATAAAAGTATTGTTTTGAAATAGTGCATTTGGAATATTGAAGTAACACATTTGAGTAAACAAGAGGTCGATATTTTATAAACAGCTTAGAAGCCGGGCATAAAAAGTCATTTCCTGGTTGCAGCATTGTAAGTAGTTTTATCTAACCTAGATTTTTTTCTAACTTCTATAATCCATTTATCTCTTCTGGTTAGTTCATTTTTATTTTATATAAATTCGTATATAATGCAAGTATAAAAAAACTTCTTCGTTCAATAATATTGACATTAGTTTAAATTTATTATGTATTAATCAAGCAGAGCAGGATTTATCTTCTCATTCCCCTAACTGAGATTATGTGTTGAGCGCATGTCACAAAGCAGAGAGCAACATTATATGCCGAAGCAACAATTTATGTTCAATTCATGTTACAGTCGTCCTTTTGCCATTTAATAAGATTGTTCGGTGACCGGCGTAATAGTGAAAATGTTACTATAAAGGAATGCTAACAAATTTGCAAATAAAAAAAGTATAAAAAATCACTTCGCTTGATAGGCGGAACATAGAAAGTGCATTAAGAGAATTAATGGAATAGAGGCTAAACCAATCATTATTTATTCAAAGTTACAAATAATTAGATAATAATATATATATATGCAATTGTTTTGAAATCGTTGGTACTAACGCGAGTATGCCGGTTGATGTATACATATTTGTTTTTTGCTTAGTTATAGCATAGAACAATATATAAAAAGTGAAAAAACATATATAATTTCACGAAAAATTTGATTTAACATGAAACGCAAATACAATTTGTAGGTAGTATATTAGATTAAGGACTAAATGCTAATAAATGTTCATAACACGCGTGTATATTGTTGTCACGTATAAACTTATGTATATGCACATATGCTGCATGTAACTACGTAATTGTAGTCTATAATCTATGTGATTTTATAATATTTAAGATTTAATTAATTTTCAACATCACTGTCGCTTCAACAACAATCAGTATTACTGATACTTGGTTCAATTACGGAAACTCTTTAGACAATTTCACGGAAATGTGTACATCACAGTCTACAATACCTCAGACATGCATCATATTTGTATTGTCTGCCATCCGTACTGAAAAAATGCACTATCGATGTTTTCACATATCAGCTCTTCTATTGGAATTATTGATTGTGGCTGTATTGCTATTGCAACCGCAATCAGTTTCAGCAGGGTTATGTCGTGAAGCGCAGCTCTGCTGCAATGGGCGTGACTCCTCTTGTGTTGTTCAAAAGACACCAATTAATGCAATAATTGAAGACCTAAACGAAAAACCATGTTATTGTGACCACGCTTGTCTGAAACTAGGCGACTGTTGTACCGATTTTAAGGATCACTGTCGAGGTAAATTTAAGTTACAAAGAATAAATTAATCAAATAAAAGCAAATAAATGAAGTTAATATTAATTTTAAAGACTGGATGAATCGATTAAAATTTAATATATAAAATTGTATTATCAAAAATATATTCTTATTCTCCAAAGAGAACACACATTTATATAGAATATAAATACGTATGTATGTACATAAGGATAATAAGTTATTCTACGATTCCATGTATAGAATGTAGATTAAAATTTCGCTTAACACCATAATTGAATATACAAATTTACATCCAGTCTAACTGATAATGTTTTTTACAATTCTAACACAACTCACATGTCCAGTTTAACTGATAATGTTTGTTTTTATAATTCTAACACAATTCACATGAATTTTATATTACGAATTAGGTAGGGCAACCAACCGTTTCAAAAAAGATTCACTCAAGAGTGGGGATGGTTGTTGTCAAATTTTGATGTAATTTTTTATTTTGGTAGAGGATAAGAGAAATGTTATTTTCGTATGCGTTAGGGCATATATTTAATGCTTATGTACGTGGGTCGCAACTGGCTTGAAGTTTGTTTGGTCTGCACAGAAACACCTTCGCCAGTTTTCCGCGAAATATACATAAAATAACACAACAGCCACAAAGTTGAGCTTTATACACTGTATATGCATATATAATGGTATATGTATTATATAGTACCTTGTGGGTGAGATTGCTATACACTCCCAACATCAAAGTGGTGCAACGCCGAGAATTAAATTTGTATACTATCAGTCGAAGGTGTTCGAGCTCATTGATCAAGATTTTATCTTAAATCTTTACACTTTTCAGAAAAGCGAATAAAATACTTGGCTCGTCATATTACCGTAATTATGAGCGTTTATTTTATATATGTATGTAAATGTGCGTATGTATATGCGTACATAATGGCTGTGAATATGTTTTATATATACATATACATATACATACATATGTATACAGGTTTGATACAAAGATTAAATGTACTTTTGATAAAATTGAGGTAATCTGAATATTTAGCTGTCCTGAACCTTTGTAGAGTACATCTCCCTGGTAGTACTTAGTTATAATCCTTTACTGGTGTAAATTCAACTTAAATATTGTATAACTTAATCTTCTCTCTTCTAGTTGTTGACTGCCAAGTGAGTGAATGGACTGCATGGAGTGAGTGTGATAAGATTTGCGGTACAGGGGTCATGCTGCGTACCCGTAAAATAATAAGGGCACCGCAAAATGGTGGAAAGCATTGCCCATCTCTGACACAAAAGAGAAGCTGTCTAGGTATTCGATGTCACACCGAGAGAGCAAAACGAATCTTTCGAGGTAGGTAGAAGTTTATTTAAAAAAATATGATTTTTTCTGCTTTAAATACAAAAAAAAAATTCCATACACATTTTTGCATACACACAAATGATAAGTAAGCTCCTCATTGCCTCGTGTCTCAAATAAATTTTGCATTTGCAATTGCTATTAGCAAAGTAGTCGCGTTGAGGAGTAAAGCGCCACACTTTACAAATAGTGTTCAAAACGAACGCTTGGCAATAATTAAGTAAAAAAGCAACTATTTGCTCCCTTCTCCTTAACAGGGCGAAAACTAATTGCACACAAACAGTGCAGAAATTAAAGTGTACTTATCCATACAAATTATACTCTTGAATATATTCATATTATGTTAGTACTTAGTAAATTCAACTAGTTATAAACTACTTTACAACTACTATCAGGAGAACAACTAGTCCATTGGCGGTTTTTTTAATTAAATATTCTATTAATTTTTTTATGTATAAAGCGGTTCAGAAATATATAGTAATTTAGGGCCGGAGCTTTTCGAAATGGTTCGATCAGATTCCAAAAATTCAAGATGTAAACTGGTTTTATTCCTAACTAGTTGACTGTAGGGTGAGTAAGCAATTTTATATAACAGTTGACTATTTATGAGTGTACCTATGAATATGTATTCGTCTCTTTATACGCATGCATATAAATATATGTATATGCACTCATATATGTATGTATGCATTTAAAATTGCACGCGTGGGGGTGACGTTGTGACCGTATTATGAGTGACACAGTAATCACCTGTAAATTTTGTGATGCTGCGGGGAAGCATACAACTAAATTCTTGCAACTTAAACACATCGAGACTACAAATTGTCAGCGGTGAGCACACTTTGTAATGCGTAAAGGGACGCACACATCAAAATGTTTTACAAGTCTGAAAGTGCGCTTTGTAGTAAGAAAGTAATTTTCATGCCATCAAATTTGCATGAGGCTTTTCTTTTTTGCCCTTTAAATAATATACATTTGTGAGCTTGTAGATGTATAAGTTCCACTAACTTTAGCAATATAATTAAAGCAAATTAACAGATGCTTTTCCATATTAAAATTAGGAAGAAGTTGGAGTAAATGTTTTTGCGTAATATTACAGATATAGACGATAGTAAGTATTGTACGCGTGCTAAGTAATTGAAACAAATAATTGTATTTGATAATGTTGAAATAAGTTTAAACTACATATATATTGATTTTTGTTTCATCCACTATAGTTAAACTTTGGTTCCGTTATTTTTATACAATAATCAATACATTCCGCTTAGAACAACATTTCTACACAATATTTTTGTCGTTCTTCAACTTGTTATCTAAATGTTTAAATATTTTAAAAATATTAAAAGGCACTTTCTTTACACTTACATATATATGTATGTATGTATATTGTTACATATATAAACATCTATATCTATTTACATACATTTTAAATTTTTATTTTAATAATAAAGTAAAGTTCTAATTGTTATGTTTTTGGTATAATTTCAGATAGTGCAGTTTTACTTCCATCTTCGGTAGTCTATAGTTATAATACAAATACAAGTAAAGAATCTCTTCGGCAAACAAACAACCTCAAAAGGTATGTCTCAATTTTTTATGAAATATTTAACAATTATTAATAATAAATAGCTCAAAGTTTATGTATGTGGTATGATAGAAATATAATTTAATCGTTTATTTTAGTATAAATAATTCGGTAGTTCCTCTAAAATCTTCGATTAGGCGCGTCTTTTTTATATATTTCTCATTGAAAACTTGTCAGAAAAACTCACTAACTATGTGGAGTTAGCGAAAATAACACTACTAAAACGTGAATAAGAAAAATAAGTAATAATTGGGTCTGTACGCATTCAGTAAGCTTTGTATACCTCTTTACTAGCGCTTTCCGGAATTATGTACGTTTTATTACTGTGCTACCAAAAACAATGTTACGAATTAATTTGCTTATACCATACCTACCAATTGGTGGTCTGTTCTTACTCATTCCTTCGGATAAGCAGCACGTGAAACTCTAGGGGCAAAATGTAATCCTCAGGAGGGTTTTATTTAAAGCAAATATTTGTGTGCGAGGTGTTGATAGAGTCACTGAAAACAACCGAAACAGATGTATGGCAATTCAAACTTCAAATTTCTTTGTGTGGGTTTGTGTGTGTTTTTGGTTCTTTGCATCATTATGAACTCTTTCAAGAAAGAGGGACTTGTGAAAAGTATACAGCTGTTAGTCTGTCTTTTGCCAATTATTATGTAAATTAGTTTAATTTAAAATTTTGCTTTTCCTTTAAAATTAAGTTAAGTTTAATAGAGTACATCAAAAGAATAACAAATCAGATATTAACAAGTACTAAATATTTTTAAAAGTTATATGACATATATGTATTTGTACAAATTCGAATATATTGGTTATAACATATGTATAACTTTTCGTCAGTTCTATATTGAGAATAAAATGAACACTCATATTCATAAATCGTTTTGTTTTGGACGGGTTTTCATAATCTTGATATAGCTTCGTTAATTTGAGAGCTCATACCAATATTAATTGCTTCCATTTCCGCTTCGATTAATTGAGAATTGTCAGATATTGTTTCTGTGCCAACGCCTCGATAAAATGTTTCCAACTGAGTTGGCAAGCTTACATTGCTATTTATTGCTTTAATGGGAACTTTATGAGCTTTTTCCGTGATCATTGGAAATGTACTCAAACAACTTTCTTCCTGATTAGCGTATACAGCATTGTCAGAGCTGTCATTTGTAAATCCTAAATTAATTCGTCTTAACTCTGTTTTAATCCTTAACAATTCAACAAAACAATTTCCAAACGATGGACGGTCTTCCGGCTGTTTACTCCAACATTGTAACAACAAATTAAACCTGTGAATATTTTAATAATAAAACGAATATGTACACCTATATTTTTATATTAAGACTTACAGTCCAGCGGGACAAGTTTCAGGTTTCTCAAGTCTTCCTCCGTCCTTCACGTAATTTAGGACCTCATAGTTATTTCTTGCAGCATAAGGCTGCTGACCCAAAGTAAATATTTCCCAACAAAGAACGGCAAAAGCCCACACGTCAGAATGTGTTGTAAAAATACCATCGACTAGACTTTCCGGAGACATCCAACGAACTGGTAACAGACCTTCACCTTCTTTACGATAATAGTCGCTTTTATATATGTCACGAGCTAATCCAAAGTCACCAATTTTCACCATACGTTTACTTGGATCATTGGAAGATACCAAGCAGTTACGGCATGCGAGGTCGCGATGCACAAAATGCATATCTTCTAGATAACAACAACCTTTGCATACGTCAATACACATTGATATTAAGTCTAAGAGTTTCAGGGACGCTTTAGGCCTCTATAAAGATAGTTTGTGTAGATTGTAGTCTCAATTTAATGAAGATAAAATAGTATGTAGGTACCTTAGGGTTCGGTCTTGAATTGCGAATATAAGTCAGTAAGTCCCCTCCTTCCATATGCTCCATTATTATAGAAATAGACTCAGTGTCAAAGCAAACACCAATAAGTCGGACAATATTATCATGCTTGAAGTTGCTCATTAATTGAGCTTCTTGCAGAAGTTCAGCAAACTCACTAGCACCTTTTCGGAGGCTCTAGATAATGAAATATACACAATCTTACTTTCGTTTTATTTACTTATATCATTTTCAATACTTGCTTTAATAGCAACTTTTTCCTGTTGATCACTATTTTCATGTTTTATTAATCCTTCATAGACTTCTCCAAATGCACCGCTTCCCAAGAAATGCAATATTGTTATTTGACTCCAATTGATGTGAGGTAAAAGAGCAATATCGGCATCACTAAGAGGACCACCAGTGTACAATGTGGAATGGCTTGTGGTAGAAAATGCTCTATTACGAGATGCCATAAGTTGCTGGTGCTGTAGTGTAGATATATTGCTCCATATACTTGGACGGCTTTTTTCAAGTAGTTTTTTAGCTTTTTGCCGTCTGAGTTGTACTAAATATTTAAAAGTTAATGGAATTGTTAATTGATATAAACAACTGTTTGGTGTATAAAACTATTACACTCTGTAGCAACATGTTGCATGAGTGCAAAAATTATAATTGCAAACTTACATGTACGTAATAGAATTAAAATAATCACGAATGCAGAAACAATAGCTGCCGGAGTTATGATAGCTAATACCAATGAATCCCTTTTTTCTGGAGACACAAAAGGTTCTGAAATTCGTTCGCTATCCAAACTATATGGACCCCACCCATATAGGTCGTTTCTTGCGCGCACTCGGAACATCAAAAGCCTCTGTATATAAATTTCTCGTATAATGCAACTTAATTCAGTTGTACTACATGCAACTATCCATTTATCTTCAATTGGACTTGGTTCTTCCGCCCAAAGAACTTGACTGTAACCGCCTACGGAATTATTCATGTAGTCTAGGTTTATCGCTTGACTTCTTCTTATGCGTTTGGTTTTACGAGCTTGTAGCGCCTCCAATGAATATTCTGATATTAACTCCCCATTATTTGGAGCTGCGGCCCAAAATATTCTAAACACGTCACTTATGGTATGTTCGATCTGCGGTTGACCCGGTCGCCCAGGGGCTGCTCCCAGGGTTTCATAAATGAAGTATTCATTAGGTACCTCTGGCCATACATAAGGATCTACAAAAGATCCATAAAATATTTCAAGGAAAAACTGATATTTAGTTTTTGGATCTAAATTTGGTACAACTATTAAAGAAGAATCTTCTGTAATATCAATACTGAACTCATTATCTCCATTTACTTCTTGACATGCTAGAACCGACCTTGTAACGTTATCCGAAGTAACCCAACTTAGAGTCAAGTTGTGAGAAGTTTTTTTGACCAGCCAAAGACGAGAAGGAGTTTCAAATGTCTTCACTATGACCGAAAGTGTGCTGTTGAATTTGGATTTGATGGAAAAGGCTTTCAACCAAAATTTATACTCTCGAGAAGATTCTAAATTCGTAACTAAGTAGTTTAGACTGTTAATTCGTTTGTATGCCCCTTGACTAGAGATCGTCTCTTGCCAATGTAATTCATACCATACTTTTCCACAATTGGGTCGCTCCGGAGGATTCCACATAACATAAACTTGAGTTGGATTTAATGCATATGCTGTAAAATTGAGAGGCATAGAAGGTGTACCCACATCTGTGAGCACTGTCATAATATCAGAATACCATTCATCTAATTTGAACTTTCTTTGATAATATGATGATATAGACAATTGTAATGTATAATTGGTAAAGGGCTGAATATTTGTTACGTTTATAGTGTTATCTAATGATGTGTGGCTTCGCGACACTTTTTCATTATCTGTAATCCATAAAGTATATTTTATCCCCGGAACTTTTACTTTACATTCCTCAATTTCATCTAAGTTTGGAAAACTCAATGTCATATAGTTTTCACCCACAGAGATTACTTTGGGGCTTAATAATTGCTTATTTTTTAATAAGATATTATGATCCGGTAAAAGGCAGTTGCGCTCAGGAAAATGTTGATAGTTATATGCCTTCATATTTTTTATGTCTTCAATGTTTACTTTATATTCAACTTTTTGTTTTTGGTCGCTATAAGAATATACTTTTTCATTTTCCAATATATATATATATATGCCATCACGGTCTATTTTAATTATTTCCTCTGGGTTGGCCAGTACCGTTTGGATTTGTGAACTACATATACGCTTTGAAATGTCATAAATACAAATATTTCCATCCTTATCTACAAGGCTAACAGACACTGGTGATGACACAAACATTTTGTCAAAATATGTGGTTTCGAAATATATAAAGGTGGAATTACTCAAAATTCGACCAGCAAGAGTAGAAGTATTAGCTTCCTTGTCACGTTCAAGCCAAAGAAGTATATTCAAAAATGGCATTATCGTGAGGTCTCGCACATTCTTCCCTCTGTCAAGGGTAAGTAACTTATGTGGTGCCATTACTTTTCCTTCGAATTGACATAAATCAAGCTCATATATGGAGACACTGGATTTATCTTCTGTATCCAATTCGGCCCAGTATACAATCCGTTGAATCCAGTCAACTGTCAAAGACAGAACTTCAGCTCGCATTCTGGCCAATTTGATTGGCTTTAAATCAGATGTTGCCGAAATAAGCTCTACATTTTCGTTTACCCACAAGATACGCCTTTCGCTTGACATAACTGCTAAATGCTCCACTTGGCTGCTGATTTGTATTAATACTTTGCTGATATTTAAATCCAGATCATATTCTGCAATATATTCACTTGTGGCATATATAAATGTGGGTTTGGTTTGAACTTCTGGATTAATGTGAAGTTGAATTGTACTGTTCTGCCCTTGTTTTTCAATTCCCGTTATAAAAGATTGTACTTGAAAAACATAACACTCCCCAATGCTCAGACCATCAATTGATATTTCATAAAATCGTTCATTACTCGAATTACATATTCGCTCAGCGTGCAGTTCCTGTCCAAGCCAACAATAAATTTTATATGCCATTTTGGAAGAGGTATTTTCATTTTCCGGAGATTCCCAACGAACTGTTGCGGTAATATTGTTTATAGCGTCAAATGGATCATTGAAAGGCTCAATAAAAATTCGCATTTGCTTTGGAGGGGAGATACTAGTACTGGGGATAAAAAGCGGTAGCGTCGTGGTTGAACCAAAGCTCCAATATGTGAACGGCGTTATAGAAATATTAAAATGTGACTCCAGTGTGTGAGTTTTATACATTACTACGAATGATTCGTTAGTCTTATAAATTACATTTGTTGGATATTTGGAATTATTGAATTGTAAAAGAATGTTGTAGAATATTGTGTAATTTTCCGAAGTATTAACCGGATGCCATCCGATAATCCATTCATTTGTGTAGGCTTGATTAATACGAATACTTTTGATATCAACAGCTTCAGGAACAACAGACAAATCAATGGATGGTATATAGCTTGTCTTCAAATGAATGCAGTTTATTTTGCTTAACTGAGGAAGTTCAATTTGCATTTCATTAGTTGAATTGCCTGCTCTTGCAAAAATAATTGCATTTGAATTCGATTTCAACCAAGTAACACTGTCAATTTCATGTAAAAACTTTATGGAACCCGCTTGAATGTCATTTTCTATGAAACTGTATTGTAAATCATCGACAAATGTATCAATGCTAACTCGGAATAACTGAACGTCTCCATCACCTTTTCGAACAACCCAAAACAATCGTTTAGCTATAATATCCAAGGCAAATCCACTTATTACGTCTTCATTTGTATTCGTGTGGTAATATTCATATTCATCCGTGTCAAGCGTATCACCTAAAAGTCGTCTCCCTAATATCGTTCTTGTTGAGTAGTAAATGTGACCGCTATGTGAATCTATTGCAATATACTGAGCGCGGAATATGGGTAGCATCTCTTCTTGACTGCCATCTAAGTTTGCTCTCTTCACACAATTTGCCAGAGAATCTACCCAATACATCTTCCCACCTCGCCAATCGTATGACAAGGTAATCGCATTTGTGGCTGTAAATGAGCAATTTATCTCAGGATTTATGATGTTTGCACATTGCAAGCGATTGTCCTGAGTTATGTAGTATATTGTTGCATTCAACTGCACAAAATCTCTTACGTTTTCCATTTGACCGACCTGCTCTACATGCTCACCGGTTTCATTAATTTCGTATATACCGTTTAGGCTTGCCGCTAAAAATACATACTCCCCAAAGGGCCAAGTACGTGTCAACAGTGCTCTAGACCACAAGCCCATTGTACCACCAAGAACTACACGTACACGAAACTTATACACATTGTTCGGTTGTAATTTTTCCACATTGAAATAGTTTGTCTTTATATTGCGTATATTAAAAGCGCTATTACTTGCCAAGTCCATTATTTCAAGCTCATAATTCCACTTGCGCCAAGCATATTCTGTCTGGTATTCATTTAGCTTCGGTTCATTCCAAACAATTTTCGCCATCTTAGAAGTGACAAAAGCTCTCACATTTTCTGGGCTATTCTCTAGCGTTGGTTGTGCTTGTATAAAATTAGCTTGTCGTGTCAATGGTGTAATACTCCAACACCATTCCAATTCTTTCACCATCGAAATGTCATATTCATTTGAATTGTAGTTCTTCCTGAATAAATGTGTACCATTCGTGCCAAGAAGATGAATCCCGTTGAACCAAAAACTTTGAATTTGTGGCATGCTACTAGATAGTTTTAAATGAAGATTTTGTGTATATTCCCCATCAAAAGTACTTTCATATAATTCGTGATCACTTGTGTTATAAAATATTATTAAACTCCTTTGATAATTGTTTGAAAAAATACCAACATTACTCTTAATTACGATTTCTGAGTAATTAGTAGCAAGATTTGTTCGAATAAGGCTGCCACTATTGATCCAAAATAACCAACCATTTATAGGATCTACTTCCATGTGATCGATTGACTTGTTAGCATTTTTTATTATAAAACTATGAAAGTTTCCATCTAAATCCGTAGAAATAATTGCCCACTCGGCAATAGCTGTCTAAAATGGTGGAAGAGTATTCAGCTTATAACTATAAGGAAAGGATTTGCAATAAACTTACTTGGACCGCTATGAAAAGCAACTTATTTAACCAATCCAGGCTAATTTTCTTCGGTTTAAATTCAGTCAATTTGTCTAAAGTAAGAATCGCACTTTTTGGGCTTTCATCATTCCAAGGGACTCTGTAAATAGCATTGATTTCGAATATGCAGCAAACAATAAACGTCTTATTGAAAAAACTATATAACGTACCTCATAATATTTCCCAAATAATCAATTATATAAACAATGTACTTTCCAAAAGATGAGTAAAGCGCATAATCTATTATAAGATGTTCACTTTCGAAAACAAGTTCAGAGTCTGTTAAAGATTCTAGACTTTTAATTCTAATGCTATATTCCCCAGCTAAAAGCACTAGGTCAATGTTCTCTGAATTTCCATACAAAAGCGCAACTTTTGTTTGAATAAATGTTTCAACAAAACTACCTTCCCCCTCCGAATTTAACGTCGATAGTTTTACAGAGTATTTCGTAGCTGGTAGCAAATAAGAAAAAACAAAACTTCTTCTGTCGTGTGGTAATATCTATTTGCAATGAAAGTAGTAGTTTTATAATCAAACATTCGTAAGTTTTGTTTTTAAATACCTGTTTTTGTGATGAATTTGCGTTTTCCAAAGTCAACACATAACCTTTTAATGGTCCACAAGTAAAAATACCTGGTTCCCAAATGATACTGATGTGATTATGATCTAAAGCAATTGCTTGTTTCAACAGTGGCTTCGAAAGGGGGACGCCTTTTGCTTTGGTTCTGAATGGCTTTGTTGGTGGTGAATGTAAAATTTGATTCGTATTCATTCCAAATTTCAATTTGTAACGAAACTGAAGAGAGAGGCGTTTCAATACAGTTCGTAAAGCTTTTAAGTTTATGCCTACCTTATATACAGCAAAAGGAATCAAATCATTTAATATTTCGCACACGAAATGCCGGTTGCAGTTAACATTTGTAAGATTTTTCCAAGCTCGTGGTTCGGATATGTTTTCTTTAATGTATTGATATTGTATGTATATGCTAAACCGGTGACTTGCAAAAAAGGAATCAGGAAACAATATATCCCAAACCAATTTAAAATCATCCGTGTTATTTGACATTTTTATATGAGGTACTTCTAGTTTTATTTTCGGTTCTATCGTTTTTTTTTCGCAGTCCCAGTATCGTCTTTGACCCACCTCGCATGCAAACGAGCATGGTAAATCAAGGCTATGTAGTTGCGTTGAAACCTAATATATTGTAAAAAGGTAAGTGTGGGAATTAATATGTGAAGCCTGATAAATAGTGCATGTGATATGGAAGACCATATGTACATAATATATACACTTACACATATTTCCTGGCAGCTCTCAGAGTTGTTTAACGCTTCCATCCATTGTTCACATCCTTTTGTGCACTGTAAGAATTAGTCTTTATATTTTAAATGTATGTACATATGTACCTATGTTAAAAGTGCATACTATGTATCAAATGGTACATTAGTTTTTTTCGCTGTATATACATATGTGTGCAAGCATTCGCTTATAAGTCAGATTGCAAACTATATAAGCTTAAGAAATTAAAAAGGAAGCTGGGGATGTTGATTTGTGGCATGAGTATAGTTATAAAGTAATAATTGATTGGGAAGGTGAGATTTTTGGTGCACTCACCAAAATACATACATATATTACTTGCACAAGATAGTCTAATCACTACGAATTGTTGGTTCATTCAAACAGTGTGCTTAAATTTATATGTTCCCTTACGTAAACTTCTTGTTGGTTTTCTTGAATACTTTAATGTCTCTTAGTTCCTAATTAACATTTTTACTTACTCGTCTCTCGAAGCAAACTGGGCTTCCGCCTTTTTCACCACAATCCAATCCGTACTCATTGAAATAATTAGCCGCCTTAAAAATACATTGCAACAATTAGTTTCGTTGGTATAAAAAAATCATTTAGTACATACTGTTATAATTCTTATTTACGAAACTACAATAGTAGTGACAATATTCAAGATAAATACGTTATTCTATGTATAAATACGTATCTATTGTAAATTACTTTGGTGTATGTACTTTAAGCTTGAAGTATTTTATTTTTGTGCAGAATCGGTAAACGAGTAATACTAAAACAATCGTTTTAAAGTATTTTTGTTTTGTAATAAGACTAACATATTTATGTAGTAGTCACGTGTTGTTGGGTTATTAAAATGTAATATAAATCTTTAGAGGCATGTGACGTGCATATGATAGTAATAATAGAACTAGGGGAAAAAGTCCACAAAAGAAATTTTGAAATTCTATCTCAACAAAATAAGAGAAGTGACTAAATTATGCCCAAGCATGATAATTTGGTCACGTGTTACTATTTTCTACTTTGGTTGAGTTAGATCTTATAGACAACACTAGACATTCGAATCTACCTAATTTTGCAAATAGTCCCCACCGTTAATCACAAATGCTGCTGCGATTCATCTTGCTGAGCTTACTTAAATGCAATTGTATGAAGATCTCTAATCAATTGGCCATTGTTGTAAAAGGAATGTGCATTCGACTACATGTGTACAACTACATACATATGTACATATATGTACATATATTCGGTGATATAGTAGCCATTAAATTTTAACATTTGTTTATATAATTCATATTATCTAACGACTGTGCAATGAAGATGTGTTCCACATTTCTAACACAAGCAAGCTGTTCTCGTAGAAATTGTGCAAAGTGTGGTAAGCGGCGCTACCACTAATGGCACTGTGTTTTCAATACATACATACATACATACAACGTGAATGTGTCCCATATGTACATATACGCACGTATAAGCTTATGCTTCTGTGCAAATTGTCTGTTTTAATTGACAAAAAGTACATGAGCTGCACATACTTATGTATGTATATACATATATATAAATCTTCACTGCTTAAAGACAATTTCAAACACGTGAGCAAGCAGCGTACGACACGGCACATGAGATTGGTGGATCTTAGTTTAGATGCTACTAATAAGCTGTTAATTAAAGTAAATATTTAGTATCTATGTATATGCCTATGTAAAAAGTGTCAGCTAATTGTAGTTATGTCATCAAAATGAAAAAAATAAATACAGTGAAATACTTTATTACTGACAGTTCTCATATACGGACAGCTCCCATAACTGGACAAATTTCATTAAAACATAGTTTTCATTATTATTTTCATGCAAAACCAATTTCAATAATTGGACATATGTAAGTAAGTTTCAATGACTGGACACAGACACTTTTTTGGTAATATGTATTTCGCTTAAATTATCTTTGATAAACGGGAAAGGTATCATAAAAAGAAAACTGTGAAAAATTTATAGTTCCCAATTTTTATCAATTTTTATCACAAAAAACATCTGGCTATGAGAAAATTCAATGCATATAGTATGTTCTTAAATATTGAACTACTCTCTATATATAAATCTGTGCTAGGACTAGCAGGAATTCATCAAAGTTAATACCTATTTGCTCAATCATGTATTAAAGTAATTCTCCAGCAAGGTGCACATTTGTTATTGTAAAGGGGTATGCATGTTCAGGTTAAATATAATTACAGAAATCTTCAATTGCAAATCTACGTTTGTTTAAATACAGAAAGTATATAGTATTCATAATTAATTAAAAACTAGTTTCAAATCAAAATAGATGCAATAATGATGCACAGAGTAATAGATTTTCTTAAACAATTTTTTTACCGTAAACTTACTTCCAGTTTGCACTGTTCCAAACACTCGTTTGTTACATTTATAATCGTTGCATTTTTTACATTTGTTAAATCTAAGATCTCTCCTCTCTGACTGGTGGCGTATTCAGATTCAAGGTCAATTTTCTGTTCATTATTTGCATCGGACAGATGTGTAGTATCATTCGTTACTTGCTCCTCACTGTTTGTGCTGACAGTAACTGCTTTGCTTGTCACTGGATATTCATTTGATTTGCACATATCACAATTAACCAACAATAGGAGTATTATCAGCCAATGAAATGAATTCATTATTGATGCCAATGAAATTCCGTCACATATTTTGTTTGCACATTTGCAGGATATGTGACAAATAGTATGTAGTCGAGTCCACACATCAACATGAATAATCATCCTTAATTGTTCTTGTATGCATACATATATGCATGCGGTGAAGATCCCCACTCACGCAAGTTTGGTTATGCAGAGTATTTGAATTTTAATACAAGAAATGATCGCAGTGTTTACTATGTAAATGGTTTAGCAAATTCATTATAGTTTTGACCTTCTTCACAAACACATTCTAAAGAACATTTCAAAAGCTTGACTTTTTTAGCAGAAATCTTGAAATTTTCGGTATATACCAGCGCGTTAATTGCTTTCTTCAAGTCAACGTGAGACGCCGCGTGTATTTTAGATTTAATTAATTTTTTGTATCGTCAATTATTTTTATTAATTCGTACACGATATGTGAATTGATACATATTTATTTAGATTTTTCTTTGTGGGTATGCACATATGCGGTTAACTAAACTTATTTCTCCATTTGAGAATTTTTTTTTGTGAATATAATTACATCGATTTTATACCACAGTTTGAGTTTATAGAAAGTAAATATGTTTTAATTAAACCATTATTGTTATTATATTATTGATTTTTGTGCTCTGTCAATTACCACACTTTTTTCACTTTCATCAAAAATTGGTTAAGCTATAAACTAAAATTATTCAGTATTAATTGTTCGCTTCTCTCGCATTTTTAATAATTAAATTTTCATAAATCGCTTTTATATTCACTTTCGCTCATTTATAGTATATATGTATGCAAATATGTAGATACAAGCTAATATGTAAGTGACGTATACTTGTATATCGTTTTTGTTCAATATTTATAAGTTAAATAAAGTACACGCGTTCTCATAGGTTTACTTTAGTATTCACTCCCGCTATCTTTGTTCCGGTGTTCTTTCCCGAACCACGCTCAAATCACAACTGATCGCTCAAAACGAGCTCAGCTCTTATTTGTAGCTCGAATGTCAGTATATTTATTCTTGCAATGTGGGCTCTTAGATTCAATTCCATATAAATATCTTTTAGAATTCAGAGAGCTTTTCGATATACTTATATGCAAAAATATGTTTATAAGTAAATTTGATATATTTTCGTTGTATGTATAATGTACATATACATACATATGTCTGCTTATTTAGACCTTTGACAATTAATTTGAAGTGTGGAAATTACTTCTGTTTCTGCAAAATTAGATTAAATTCTTATATAAAAAAGCTGTGGAAAAACAGGAAGGGAGAGGACTATTTCTCTTAGTTTGTTAATAAAGAAGAGACAGTTTGTAAATTATATATTAATTATTTTTTACCATATAGTACAGTTGACAATTTTTATGTACCTGCAGGAAAAGATGAACGATTTTAATGATTTCCGTTTCCGTTAAGAAGTAAATGAAGGTGCTATATTTTGATTTCTTTACCTTTTGTGTTTAAAGTGCGTTCATGTGAAAAATAAATGTTTTATTTGAGCAAATGTTCTATTGAAGCTTTGAAAAAGTAATTGGCTGGAAAATCGAAATTTAATTGGCACAATTTAATCCTGGACGAACATGTATGTATGTAAGGTTTTTTTTCCTTTATATTTTATGTTTAAAGAAGTATTTAAGTGTAAAAAAAGTGTTTTGTTTGCGTGCAGATTTTTAAAAAAATAGTAAATTCAAAGTTCTTATTTATTTAATTTAATTTTTACCGAACCCGAATCAAAGGAATGAAATAATGTAATATTTTGATATAATTTTGGATAAATAGTGGAATTGAACGCTATTTTCATAATAATAATTAATAAATAATCATATATATTTTTGATTTTTCAGTTATTGCATAGAATTCGAAGTAATTAATGCAGCAAAGGAGTGTCACAAAATTGCACCCTACAATTTTCTGTTAGAAGGTGATTTTTTCATATTTTCTCTAATTTCTAGCTATATTTATATGAAGAACATGTAAATAAATATAAATAAAAACATATACATTTAAAGGCGATCGAATATCAGTGCGATGTATTATAAGGAAAATGTTCAACAAATTGACTGTATGGAATGACGAAATTAATATAGCCGCGCAAAACTCTACATTGCGAGACACTAACAGAGCAGCAAATTTGATGATTAGAAACTCCGCAATTCATAACAATAGTATTAAATACATGGAAAATACGCATTGTCGTGGTGAAGGTGCGACGGGTAGAACTTCATGGTGGCGAGCATCCGCAGTTCCGTTATGTCAAGGGAAATGGCTGCGACTCACTCTAGAGGCGGCTAAATGTTCACGTACACATTTTGAATTTGCTTAAAACTATAAGCATATGAAATATGTAATTTTAAAATGTTTATATTAATTACACGAATCAAAATATTTATTAGATTATCAGAAACATTCAACACAGGTAATATTATTGCAATTCTATACAGATATATGTTTAAACATATATATCGAAATAAATGAAAGTTCAGTCTTTCAATAGGAATTGACATCAATTATATAAAATTTGTAAGTTGGAAAGTCGACCCGACTTCCATCATATACTTTTATAAACAGTGAAAGAAAGCAATACTTATAAATAGTAAAATAAATATGGAATAATAAAATAATTCATATATATTTTCATTAATAATTTCACGTATATCTCTATAGACTCAGTTTGTCCTATACAATTGGTGTTTAACTGCTATCTTCTTTATGTTTGTGATATTTTTCGAGTATTGAAATATTGAGCCTGCCTAACGAAATTAAAAACTTTTTATGGAAATAATGAATACACATTTACACAATTCTTTTAATGTTGTACATGCGTATGTTGGTAATATTTCTATAAGATTAGCAACTGAAACATAATTTATAAGTAGGTTTTAAATCCCGTTTCGATGTGACTGTCTTGTGATATAATTTCTTAATTCAAAAACGTAGTTATAAGAAATTTCTTTGAATATAGTTAAAGCCGATTTTGTCAAACATTTTTTATATTAAGTTAATCCGAAATTTACTACACTTTATTATATTAACCATAAGATAAGAGTACGTCGAAATCGTGTATTCATTTTTGTTTCAGCCTGAGAACGAAAGTCTGATCATTTGTATTCGGAGCAACTTCGCGCAGTTTGCTCAGTCGGTCCTCATAAGATTGAAAATGAATGAAATAAATGATCTCAGTCAAGAAATGAATAATTTTAAAAGTTATACATCCTTCTAACACTGTACAACAGCTAATCTCTGGGGGGTGAGAAATTCCAAGTCAGGGTGATGGTACTAGGTCAGTACAGTAAAAMCCTCAAAGGGTTTGGCGTTCGTATGTGTCAGTTTTTGTTTATGACCTTTTAAATTTTTTCCTTATCTTGATGTTTTTTCGCTTAGTTGTAGCATTTTGGCAAAAACGAAGTTTTTTTTTTTTTTTTGAACAGAAAAACATCAAGATAAGGAAAAAATTTAAAAGGTCATAAAAAAAACTGACACAGAAGAACGCCAAACCCTTTGAGGGTTTGAGTATACTGACCTAGTAGCATCACCCTGACTTGGAATTTCTCACCCCCCAGACAATAATCCCAAAAATGTTCCACAGTGTAATCTTTCAAAAGAAGACACATACGTCATTTCGACATACCGTTATATTTCCAGTGGTATACTTAAAATAACGTTATCTTTGTAGAGTTAAGTACCAATATATGTATGTAGATAATATATTCTTATGTCTGCAATATATACATACTATATAGCGGAAAGTTGGTGCAATAAGTGCACTATGACTTGACTTTTTCAAATATTCTAATTTATCGAATTCTTGATTGTTTGATATAAACGATTACGTATTAAGTAGAATATGAAGTTATGTGCTATAATATAATAGAGCGCATTAAGAATATAGAAAAAATTTAAATTGATGTTTCAATGATAAGGGTAGATTGACCACCATATTTTATTTACATAATATTAAATACTATATTACTTTGATTAAATCACCTGGAGACTTTAAATTTACCCATTTACATGCATATGCAAATATACATATATTTATACCTGTATACGTTTACGTGTTGATTGATGACCGGTGTTTTTTCAGAGCAGCATGAAAAGGCGATGCGCCCATGTGACCCACAAGGATTTATTTATTTTTAAATTAGCATATAAAAAGTAATGGAGAGTTTAAGAGCATATGTTCCTCAACAGCTGGTTTTAAAATTCAATCAAAGTGTTTTTGTTTCGTGTTTATATGTTGGGTAAGTACATTTTTCATTATAATTTTATTTATTTATTTTTCGTTTTAATTGGGGAATTCTGTAGTAACATTATGCAAATATATGCTGAATACATTAAAAAAAATTAAAAGGGCGGAAATATATTAGAGTAACAAAAAAAGGAAATTTATCAATTCATACACATTTCAAAGAATTTAATAAGTTAGTACAAACTTTGTTTGTATACATACTTCAATACATATATAGTCAACAACATTTTCTGTAGCGTAATTGAAGTAAAGACCCGAAACTCTATTATAATAATTAAAATTATATTATAAATAATAAAAATCTCCCACCGTGACAATGTTTCATTCAACATTGCCGTGACCAGGATTCGAACCTGGGTTACTACGGCCACAACGTAGGGTCCTAACCACTAGACGATCACGGCTATTGGGACATTAATCCAAATCTGACAAGTGTTACACATATCATATTTGCCAAATTTCAATCTCATTTTTATATTTTACTATATATAATACATAACCGATTTATGAATATTTCGCATAATTTTTGTATATGTAAATGGTCTTATCTACTATAGTCAACTTGTAACAGGCTTAGCAGCCTAAGCGGCCACAGGCTTACTCCTAACGGGGTCAAATCACATAAGCTGGGTGATCAGTTGATTAGCCCACGGGGTAAAGATCCCTTAGTAGGCATTACTTTTTCAACATATAAGAAAGTCTGAAGAGTATTTAACTATAGAAATAGAAAAGTGAAAATATTTGCAAGGTAATTGCCAAAATGTCTAACAAGTTCATTTTGACAACTAATTTCACAAATATGTAAATAGATAAAAAGGTGTTAGAAATTAAAAATTTTGGTATATACATATATAAAAAAGCATAGATTTTGTAAATGTGTCATATCTTTATATTTCTATCTAAATGTTTCTCTTGTATATGTGAATGTGAAAATACTGGTATACTAAAATCAACTGCAACGAATCATTCTAATGTTATTGTTGTTATACAATTGTTATCATTATTAATTTTGAGTTAATAAATGTTTTATTATACCTATAATATTACTCAGGTGAAATACCATTTTTAAGAATTCCTGCTTTATGAAAAAATATCTCCTTCCGTGACAATGTTGATTACAACATTGCCGTGACCAGGATTCGAACCTGGGTTACTACGGCCACAACGTAGGGTCCTAACCACTAGACGATCACGGCTATTGAAGACAATTTTATTTTTGGTCAAAGTACACTTATCTTCATTTGTATACATAAACATTTCCCAAACCGTTATTGTTTACCAAAATCAAAAGCTTACAAAGAGCTTTCAGTTGAATTTAACAGAGAACGTATGTGATAGACGTTCTCTGTATTGTGACTTTGGGCTTTTTGCAATGCTTTGTCGTTGAATATTGATTTATGCAGCTTTTGAAGTAATGTGATTAACGATTAGGCTGCATTTTCATAGCAAGGCGAGGACAAAAAGAAAGGAACATAAGCTTAGGTGTATTTATATATGTATGTGTATATGTTTCTTAAAATATTTTAATTAAGCCACTTCAAAAAGGGAGCGCGAGCGCTTCAGCTACTACTTTATTGTAATTTTTTGTCTACTTATTAGGTATAGGCAATCTTTTTTTTTACACGATTCATTATCTTTTTGTATCTTTCTAATAGAAATCAATAGTTTTTGCTATCTAACTCGTCATTGAGGATATTGTAAATATGTAAGAAATATTTCGCACATTTTAAAACGCAAATTTTCAAATGCGCTGTGTGGACAGAATTTATTGCGTTACCAAAAAAGTCCAAAACTCTTTGTAAATATAAATTTTACAATATTATAGTTATATAATAGTAAATATAAATAGACAAGGACATCGATAATTCATATAAAAACTATTATTTGTGTCTATTTTTAGCAATTTTCCCCCGCTTACCTGATGTAAGGTATATTTTTCGTTTTTTTTTTTTTGAATAAATTCATTAACGTTGTCTGCTTGTCTAGGCAATTACTTTATAGTTTCTCTGGTCCTCACCACTATACTTACTATCTGCCTATTGCTACAAAATGCTACTTTGAAAGAATGAAAGATAGTAAATAAAAATACAGTCCTCGGCTGTTTTAATGCATTTATTTTTATTTTTGGTTTTAGTACTTCATCCTTTAGTAATTAGTATTTTAACTTTTAATTTTCCACGAATGTGCACCTGTCCCAAAATATGTTTGTATGTATTGTATGTAGTACGTAAGTACTTTGTTGAGTGCCATTTTAATAACATTTTTTATAGTGTTTTTCATTCAAATACGGTAGACTTCTTTTCTTATTTTGTCGAACTTATGTGAGGTCGCAGTTTTAAAAAGTGCATTATTGTGAAATTGGTCAATTATTTACTTTTAAGTTGTGATAAATATACAGACATGTACATATAAATATTTCACATTATGTAAAGTTGACAAGATTTTAGTTGTATGGCTGCGTAAATATGCATGCATATAATATACTAAAACATATAATCCAATACAGACAAAAGTAAAACAAAATTAAACATAACAAGGTATTTGCCTCTAGCGTTTATTATTTGAGGTTGCGGGTGTGCATTTTTTGGTTACGTATTAATAAGTTATTTTATATCAACAACATTTTATTATTTTGTACGATATGCCTTTATACAAACATAATACAACAAAAAAATAAATTCTTAAAATAAATAGTAACAAGAATAAAAAAAAAAAAACATAAATTGAATCATTCTATAAACAAACAGGCATATATTTCATATATGTATATATTAGTTAGCTTGGATTATCCTGGAGACTAGGTGTAATACAAATATATTTAAATATGTTTTTGCACACGTCAAAAACATGTTAATATTATTTTATTTGTAAGCCCTTTATCCCTCATAATTACCTCTTGAAATAAATACATGGAAAGCTTTGAATCAATCGATGTTATAACATCGTACATTATGGACACACATTTTTTTTTATATAATTGAAATATAAAACTACCAACAATTGCACATAAGATTCTGTAAGTTTATTTATGAAAAAATTCTTTAGATTGTTCAAGCTTTTTTACGCCATTCAAAAGGTACTGTATACCGAGCAGGTACTTTTGTAGCGCTAAATTCTGACTGAATTTATTTGTTTATAAATTTTCTTTAAATTATTCAATTTATAAAAAATTATTTTCCTACTTTGTACTTTTTTCCACTGGTTATAGATTTAAGTTAAATATTTTGAAATAGCTGACTCAAAAACAGACTAACACGCGAATATTTATTTCTGTTTCATTTTCGTTAAAAAAAATGTGCAGTTGTTGGCAATGGCTTACTAATAAGCACTGATTCAATAACTGTTATTTAGTTTTATGCAGAATTATATATCATTTTCTTTGTTGTGAATTTTTTTATTTAATTTTTTTTTTTTGTTTTTTTCTGTAATATTTAATTGCCGATTAAACATTTGATTCGAACATCATACAAGTATTTTTGGATTAGTTATAATTTGTGTGGTAATTTTGTTGCTTAATTTGTTAATTAGAGTGCCTCTTAAATATACACATACACTTATTTTTTGCGGCTCCATAGAATTCATGTCAATATGAATACTCAAATGCTTCTATATCTGAATAAATGTTAATAAATTGTATGAAAACCAATGAAGATTTTCTATTCTATTTTCACAAATAGGAAAGTATTTTATAGCTTTTCGCATATCTTTGGCATTGTCGCCTTATATTAAACTAATTAATTTGATTTCATGTAATAAATTTTTCAAACGTTGAAGTTTTAGTCATGGTATATTTTTGAGTACATGTAAAACATGTAAAATTCATTAAATAAGGAAAGTTATTTGTTTTGTATTTTGTTTTGCTACCGTCATTTTCTTTTCGTTTTAAATTTGTGTTATATATTGTACCATACATATGTACATACATTATTAGGCACTTATACATTGTGATTAAGTTCGTTTTGCAAAAATCTGTTAAACCGTAATAATTTGTATAACTATTATTCGGTCCCATCGTTTCTTTAAGTTTATAAACATGTGTTTATATATCTTTTATACCAATTGCATCAAAGAGAATATTATATCCAAATATTTAACTTCATGCTCCATTCTGAATATGGTAAAATTTCAATCTGTTTTATTTACACATCACACATTTAATATTTTAATCGTTATTTACTAAAAAAAGAAGCATTATATTGAAGGTACATGCAACCGCATATATTTTATTTAAAATGATGAGCCAAGTTGTATCATTTATGTCTTAAGTCACTTTTATTAACACGTATACATGCAAATATTGACCACTTAATTTTATAAACTGCAACCGGCGCATATATTTATTTCATTTTAATTCGTTGAACTTTTTCTAATACAATTTTCGATGCAAAAACATTTTTTTATTGATTACAAATAAATGTGCATGGTGATTTACATCTTTAATGTGGATTTCTGTACGTGTGTAATTGGAAAAATATGAATATTTTGTTCTAAGCGCACTTTTAGAATGGTGACTCTTTATTCAAACTATTTCGTATCGTCTGATTTGTTTTCAGATTATATTCGTTTTGATGAACATTTAAGGCAACATTGAACATCGCATATTTTCAACTTTCGATTGCATAATTTTTTTTACATAATTGTATAATTTATTTTAGTATATTAGTTTTATACATTAATATATTTATAAAATATGAGGTTAGCTGAGTTTAGTTTTAAGCAGATCGTAGGTTACATTGGTTGTTGCTAGTTCAGTTTATATAAGGCATACAATTTCTTAAATTACTGCATATATATGGAATCTCATACATATGCGCACATATATCACTTATATATAATATCATAAATTTTTGTTTAAATACTAAATTGCAAAATAAAAATATCTGTACAATTAAAACCTACATAAAATAAATATAAAACAACTATACATAAAGATTTAGAAAGCATATAAAAAATATCAATAACGTAGCTCAGTTATTCTGCGTAACCTAACCTTCGCATATACAAATCTTTGTATATAAGATTTTGAAATTAGTATATATAGTACATATAAAAATGATGGGCTTTCTACACACCTAATCTCATTAACATATTGCCATAATTACTATGTAATTCATTGCAGTTTGACTTTGATTTTCAAGAATTTCACTCAGATCTGTTTACTTTTATCGGACATCGATATTACAAAGCTAATCTATAAAACGTGCGTTTCATTAAGCATAAAATAAAATAAATATTGTTGATATTAAAAATAGTAATTACTGCTGCGGATGTGATTCTTCAAATAGCTATGTTTATAAAATATTTAGCAATTAAATTTTATGTCTACTGGTTTTGTAGTTTTGGAATGCTATGTATGTCAATAGAAAAAATATAAAACAAAAATTCCCTTAGTGCTATTCCCAATATATGAAAGCCCTACAATTACCAATTTGCAAATTTCTATGCATCTTTGAGGTAGTAAAGCCACCGAAAGTTCTCGTCTAAAATACTTGATTTTATTTGAATTATTAAAACCACCAAGTCAATTAATATATTCGAGATTGGTGGTAACTGGGCTTCATTTATTTAACTGGTATGGAAATGATCAATTGCTTTTGGAAGGTAATAATCAAATGTAAAAAAAGGTACGCTTATAAAAAAATTTAGCACTACTAAGTGGAAGACTTAAAACACATTTAGAAGTGTTTACGCATGTGTTAATGAAATCCCGTACCAGTTCTACGAAGCCTAGACTACCTTTTACTTACTTCAGTTCTATGATGTTTTGATTGGAGAAGCGTTACATAATAACATGTATGTATGTACTTTCGTACTACATTTTCTAATTTCAAGTGGTTGTATCTGACTAACCTTTCATTTTTAGTCAGTGCTGCCTCTGTTTGACTTTTACCATTTATTTACTTAAGCCTTAATAATTGCATGATTATCATATTCACTGGGATGCTAAATGTTTCAATTTAAAGAAGAAACATATTCTAATTTGCTCAATAACTATTAAAGCGAATTTACGCCAAACATCCATTGTTTGTCATGAATGTTGCCGCAACACTAGAATCAAGGTCCACAAATTCAGCACCATCTCCGGTGAGTTGTGCCAACAAATCAGTGTCGTGCAAGTAATCATTTTTAATCGATATTTGATCGTGGAAAGGTACAATCCCACTACTTCCACCTATCAGTGAGGTATTGAAATCCATAAGGTTGTTATTGCTGTTTTGATGTAGAGCTGTGATGCTATTATTGTTGTTGTTATTATTACTGAGACTTCCATGATGTAAGCTGACAGCATGTTTAATGTCTACGTAACTGTCACAATTACTCTCAAAAAGGAAACGTTCTGCTGATTGAGCGGTGGTGTAGGGGCTTTGCGAGTCGACTAGCTCATTTTTTACGAATTCTGTCGCCGTCGAAGGTGTAGGCATGACTGAAAGAGGGCTAACAATGTCACCAAGTAGTACACTGCCGTCGTCGTTGCTTTGAACCGAGGTGGGAGTATGAGCTAATACCAAACCAAGACTATTTTCACAGTTAGGAATGTAATCAGAGAGCTGTTGGTTTATGGAAGAAACTACGGGGGCACTTCCAATTTGGGGGGTAGCAGAAGATTGTGACGAAAGTTTCGGTAAGTTGGCAGGCAAGCATATATTTTCTTGTGACGGGGAAGTTATATATCCAAGTTCCTGTGGCGTTGGTGACGGCTTGCAATAGCCATTTGGCAAATGCTGTTGTTGTGTTGGTAGCTGATGCAGTTGGTGATTAACAACGGAGGCAACAGCTGCGACACTCCGTGGAAATTTAATGGTTGACATTGGTGGGATTGCGGTGCGTTGTATTCCATGAGTTGACTGATTACTGAAAGTGTTGTTAACTTGTACTTGTTGTTGCGTTTGGGACTGAATTCTATTAACTGTGGCGTTTGCTGTAGACATGTCTCCATTGGCAGTACTATTATCATCCATATCAATGGCGTTGAGGTACTTATGAGCTGGTGAGTGCAATAGTTTAGAAGGCAAATTTAATCCACCTGCATGTATGCAAGTTGTTGAATGGCCTTGCAACATATCAAGTAATTTGCGACGTTCCACTTCTAAAGACCGGACTTGGGTTTTTAAGTCAACATTTTGGGTTTCCAATTGCTCCGACTCTTTTATAAGGTTTTGTGTGCGCTCGCGTTTCTTCATACGACACTTAGTAGCAGCGATTTTATTGCGTTCGCGGCGTCGTCGCCGTCGATCCTCATCCTCTGGTGTGAGGCCTTTTGAAGAAGTCTTACATTCAGTTTCTTCATCCGTTGATTCCTCGCCATCTTCATCAGGACGGGAATATTTGGAGTTTGGCTGATCGGAGCTAGAGCTTGAATCACAAGTAGACAGTTTTCGCTTGCTTTGAATTGAAAGCTTAAGTCCAGCCTTAATGAGTTGAGAACACGTCTGTAACCGAAAAAGAATTCAACCAAAGCAGATGCATCAGTAAACTCGTTACTTTAAGTAAAATTATTTAATTAAAATCTTTTTTTATATAAATTCTTATCATAAATGATAGTTTTCTTTGTTCTTTTAAATCTATGCACATATGTATGTATATGATTTTTAGCCCTATTTTTTATGGGTAAATTGAAATTGAATTTTAGAAAAATTTATTGCAGGGTTGATGTGTATATCCCATATATTTGTCCGCATTGGAAAATGTAGTAGTGTTTTTGGTTCATACCAAAAACAAAATACCTCTGTTTACTTTTTTTAAGTAAATCTTGCTTGTCGGCAATATCCATAAATGCAAAAAAGGCTTATTTTGAAGTAAACTGGATATAACATATTTGGGAAGTATGTTGCACTGGTTTGAAGTTTCCAAGTATGGCAGCTTGTCCACTTTTCGTTCCATCTCAATACGCTGCTATGTAAAAGTGATTACTCTTCGGTATGGAACAAAGAGTGCAGTAATTTTTACGATACTGAAATATAAATAAATCCATATATTTACTAAACACCTACACCAACACGTGACACACATTTGCTTTTACACACATGCATATGGTTCGAATCTTGTTATGCATGCATTTTCTTGAAGAAATATATCCATACGTACAAAACAGATGGATGGGCTAAATCGTGACTCGTAAATTATGTGACGCCTGATCCAAAAAATATTTTTTTTTTAACTTCTGTACGAAATTATTCAAGTTCAAATATAATATATGCAAATTTTTATATATACATATGTTCATATGAAAGTTCAAAGGTTCTTTAAGAAATAAAAAGGCATAACACTAAAGCAGATCGATTTTATACGTTTTTTGCAGTTGTGTCTGTTACAAAATCAATGCGACTGGACCGCGCCAATCTTGAAAACTTCGCACATCAATGTCACGAGTAGAGACTGCATGCACTGGTCGTTGAATAAGCCCACACCTTTAAATAAATGAAGGAAGGCAATAGCAATAAAACACCAGCGACACACACACTTTTCTAAACGCGTTTTATGCGTGTACTAAGTATAGTATGCGCACGCATATAAAGAAAACAGAAATGTAAATATTTGACCTAAATTTGCAAGCCGTTCGGGCTTTTTGTAATATTTAATATATATTTGTTTAGTTAATATAATATTCTTAAGCTTCCAAAAAGTTGACGGGTAAAATTCGTAGAAAGAAAATATTATTCGGAGAACATACGTGTATACGTTTAGTTATACAATTTTAGTTCGAATTATAAACAATAAAAGTATACCTGTTGAACACTTGGAGTAGTATTTATCCCACTAGGCGAGTCTGCAGGTGATGTTGAAGAACTGGAATGACTACTATCTTGCGATATGATCTATAAAGGATAAATGAATATACACTATTTTCATATTATCATTATAAAAAGTTTTCTAACCTGGACGTTCGAGGTTCCATTAAAGCTACGCATTGAGACAGCGCTACCAGGAGTTGACGCAGCTGAATCATTATTTAAAGGTGCGAAGCTATAGTTGTCCATCGGATTTGTCATCGCGATTAAAGAGTTTACAATTTCAGGAGTTTTTGGTGTAGTGCTTAGGCCAGAGCAATCGATGCCCAGCAACGACGATGGTGTGTTGAGGTTAAACATTATGTTTTAATTTCGTTTTTAGACCAAAGCCCAAAAATATATAGTATATATTAATGCGAATTATTACAGCGCAAAATCACAGATAAAGGCGTTGAATGGCGTGTTTCAAACTTATTTTTTGTTATTATTTCTTATTTTATTTTTATTACTTGTATCACATTCAAATTTATATTCATAAAGAATGAATTTTTTCGCTACCCATATAATCCATCCTCATTTCTCGGTAACGTTAGACTAACTTTAAGCCTTATATAAAAATCTTTTTACGAGGTCAGATCCAAAGACATTCAAAATAAAATTTCTGTAATAGAAAGACAAATACATTAATTTGTTTTTAAAGAAATGCAGGAAAATAGGTATCAGTGAAATATTTCAGTGAGGCAACAACAAAATTAGACTCATTCATTCAAATTTTAATTCATTTAGGGATAATTGAAATTTATGAGTAAGAATTTTCGTTACTTTTAATTATTTAATTAACTATAATATGTACATACTGTTATATGCATTGAAGGTCGCCGTCTTCTAATTTGTGAGAGGCAACATCGGTTGAGCAATGAAAAAATATATATTAATGAAAGTTGCAGATGTAATTAAAAGTATTTCATTATGTTAAAAAGGATTGTCATAAATTTTAAAAATCATAATTTTTAGTACAACAAAACCAAGTAATTTTGACATTTTTGCGATTATGTATGTATGTGGAAGTGTTTGTGGCTATGTATGAATAAAAAGCCACAAATCATAATAGTTGAGATTCATGTAGAGCTGAAAATATGACTTCCACATTGTTGGTGGCATTAGTCTTTTAAAAGTCTATTTATGACATTCAACAATGTATGTATAACTATATACTCACGGCTTTATTACATATCTATGTAGGTATGTATGCATACGTATGTACATACAAAAATTGTATTAAGAATTTCTTCTTAGTTGTTATTGTGTATTGGATGAGCATCTATCTTTCTTTGTGTTTTTTTGGACTCATGCTTATTCCTATATACATACAAATATATAAATAAATGTGTAGTTAATAGACACATACATACGTACATATATTAGAATGTTTTTACTTATGTATATATATACATACATACATATATATCTAAATGTTTTCCGACATCAATGATATTTTTGTATACTCCTAATTATGAAATCAGATAATCATAAATTAAAAATGTCGGGTGAAACAATTGTTACTAGTATATGGGTAATGGCGGTTTACCGATTGATTTAGGCGTATGTTCAAACTATTTAGTATAATGGGATATATTACATAGAAAGGCATTTATTTATGTATATGTACGCAAATATATGTATATATATACGTTTTATTAATTTTTGTTTTACTTCTGTTTTCAATCGATATTTTATAGAATATAAATGTGTACATACATATGTACATATATTGTGTATTTTATTATAATATGATTATTTTTTAATTTCAGTGTATTCAAAGACATGTAGTTCACTTAGGCACAATCTAAGCTTTTGGTATGTACATAAATGTTTATTTATTATTTTATTATATATTTATCCACATATTCCGAATTTTGCACCACTGATGTGTGGAATACAATGCTCGCGACAGACTACAAACGACATCTGTCAAATATTAAAATACACACGTTCTTATGGACGGACCTATTTTGACAGCTGCATGACTACACGACTGCAGGCCGACTGTTGTCGTTCTCGCTAACTTCAATTTTATCCTATATTTGCCAACGACAGTAGGGCGACAGTAGAGTTGACAGTAGAATGGAAGATAGAGAGATGAGGTAGAGTGGTGATGCCACTAATATGTAAAATGTAAAATTACTCAAAGCTCTAACAAACCTGACGTTATTTTACAAATAAAAGCATAAAATAGCTCTGTTAAATCATTTATAATAACAATTGATAATTTCAAACAAATAAATTTACCTATTTACTTATTTTTTGCTTAAATATTTTAATTTGAACAAAATATTAAAATTTCATTGAAATGCAAGGTATTAGTATGGCCACAACGAAATTGTGTTCATGCAAAATGGACAACTGTGTTGTTTTGTGTACACGCCGGCCATTGTTATATTGCTGCCCTCTCACAAACGTTCATGTAGTAGGATTCACATTTTCAGTTCACTGTCGTGCTGCTGCAGTCTGTCGCGAGCATTGTGTTCCGCACATAATTTACTGTGCACTGCTGGCTTAAAAAGTTTAATGGAATCGCGATGAACATATTTGATTATAAATACATATATACATATGTATTTTTTTGGGGAACATGTAAACAATGAATCAAACTAAATGCAAAATTATAATTACGTTTTTTATTTTAATTTTCTTTTTTTAAATTTTTAATGTATAAACCGAATTGTCCAAATATTTATGAATTCGCATGTATGTACACACATATATAACAGATGTTATGATAAACCATTATACATACACTAGCTGTATGGGAGTATGTGCTTCGAAAAATACGAAGTCAAACGAACGTGTGTACCTGTTTGCATGAATACTTATGCATATAATATAACTGCACGTATATTATATATAATACATATAGTACATACATTGCGTGGGTGTGGTTCATTTGCGGCCGAACAGCATGCGCAAAAGAGGGGCTCACGATTTTAAATATTATAGTGCTAAATTTTGTAGATTTTGTTTTACTGAGAGACAGGAAAGTCAAACCATATAAGCAATGTACATATGTATAACTTTATATATACTGTTTTATTTTACTGAATTTAATTTGTCAATATCGTTTTGAGAGTAGCTTATTGAATTCAAGTGGGTGAATTCGGTGCAAAGAAAACAAAGCAAAGCTAGAGATGAAATTTAAAACTTTAATTTTTATAAATTTTTGCGTTTTTAAGCTACTTATCTCCTAAGCACGAAAACACGAAACCTTATACATATACATACATACAAACATAATTTCCATTTCTATAAATTTCTGTATAGATTTTGGGTATTTGTCGCTTCTATTCCAAAGTTTTCATTTTGCACAGCGTTCAAAGTTTAGTTATAATGTGAATAAATAATAATAATATTAAACAAAATTCAATGTTTGAATCGACTAAAGTCTATTCTTAAATTTTCCAGTTTGCAACAATATGAAAACGTCTTCTTTTTAAACAATTTGTTGTATTTTATAGCAGTTTCTGCTAATTAAAATGCGGCTCTAAAATATCTAATTAAACGTTGTTTGTTCACTTTCAGTAATTAAAGGGTTATTTCAGTTTTATAGAAAGTTTCACATACATACATATGTTTCATTTAGACTTGCTTGTTTTTTTTTTTATTTTTTGTTGTTTACTATATTATTTACATACAAACATTTACCGATTTCGTTTATTATTTTATTAAAATATAATAAAGGGGTTCTATGACATTAAATGAATTTTTTTAGTATTTCCCTATTAGCATTTTAGTGCTCGTATGATCATATAAATTTTCATTCATATGTACATACTTATCTACGTATATCCGGTGAGTGCGTGGTTGCTTGTATATCGTATTATTTATACGCTGTGCTAAAACAGCAATCGATTCTAACGTCTACAACATAAATTTGCAAGTTCGGTACCAATTTTGGATATCGGGCATTAACACGGCTTTGCCAAAAAAAGTCATGTGGATATGTATTTGTCGACATATGTATGTATGTACATAGATAGTTGGTGGATACATCAGTTATTTTTTATAACCACTTTCCTTTATATATGCATATGTATGGTATGTATTACCTTTTTCCGATTTGTGTTAGTATTTATTATTTATTTATTGTATTATTTATTTTACATAGTGTTCATTTCATCTTTGGACTGCGAAAAGACGCATACAAGGACAGTGTGACACGTTCGAGGAATTGCTTCAGCGAGTAGCATATTTATTCATGCCGCATTTCGCATTAATACGGTGTTAGAAGTCTAAAAATATTAAAAACAGCTTTTGTGCTTGTATGCACATGTTATTATATAAATGCACATAATCGTATAACTTAATTTTTTTTTTAATCTGCAAAAGTTTATTAGGGTAAGTTTCGAGCGGTTCTTATGTCGTGACATAGTTGAAAGTATATATCTGGATAATGTGCGCCTCTTTTCTAAAAATCCGACTGTTTCTAACTCTTCAAAATAAAATCATTTATTTTATTATGAAATTAGTAAGAATACAGCCTGAAAAAATAGTTGAGCATTAAACATTGATTAAAATGCATATTTTAAGCAATTCATGTGATAAGAAGGTCGGCACTCCTTTCAAATGTAGCCATTTAGCCAATCCCAATTTCATTTTTGGCAAAATGAATTATGTTCATGTGGCATGCCAATTGCTGTTTTGAAAATCTTTATAACATAGTTGTTAATAAGTTTTAACACGACTGGGGAATATCTGTGCTACCACAGAATAATGCGCGGGCTGTTACGGCCACAGTGCTGCCTGAATTCATATATCAAAGGAAGACGTATCTATACCAACTTATATACACACATACATACATAAGCTCTATGTAATATTACATAGATAAGACGTCACCTCGGTTGGCCTTGGCACACTTAACTCTAAGAATATACAAATATGTGTGCTTATACATACATATGTACATGTATCTGAAAGCTCTCCCATTCCGTAAAATATATACAGTACATACATACATATCACAAGTAAGTACGCGTATACTATTTCAAGCTGTATCCCATTAATTATATATTTATCCAAATGTAGCTTAGAGTAGATTAATCTGCTTAAATACAATAAGTTTTACTCACGCTTAATTTTGGGTAATATTAGATTTCTTGTGTTTAAGTTAAATATTGTATGGCTGCTTGCACTTGAAGTGATTTTAAGGAGCGGATGTACTAGCCACTAATTACCTTGCACATATGTATTTATTTACCAGGTTTACAACTTGGCTTTTATAAAGATCAATAAAGGTTGTGTTTCATGTTTAAATAAGCCGTCATATTTAATGTATGTGACTAAAATTTGTTTCTTTTACATCTTTATAGCCTGGCTATTTTCTGAAATTTAAAAGTTTCTGACTTTTTCCTCCAATAAAATATTTTATGTACATAAAATATACATATGTACACATGTTTGTTCATATTAAGGGTGCCTTATAGTCTCTATTACCCTTCGTGGTGCAGCCCGAAGTTAATTTTGTTGTGTAAAAGCCGATGTCTATCTAACGCCATGTAAGGTAAAAGATATATGTATACTTATGGATATAGATAACAAATGTAAGAAAAATCAAAGCTTCTACGAATTTGAAGACGATTTTAACACTAACATTTGATTAATATATGAATATAATTATTTAGATATACAGTGAAATGCCCTATGTTTTTCTTACAACTTCTTTTCTTTACAAGTTAAAATTAATTTGAACTGAACTAATAAATGCGAGCCGATGTGACGCAGAAGTGAGTGAATGACAATTATCCCATTGATTTCCGTTGAGCCACCGCAAACTTGAGGGCGCTAGCGCAAGTTCTTTGCTGCATTGTTCTTAAAAAAACTGTCGCAAAACTCTGCAAATTAATAAGAGTTAAAAAAGGGAGTAAAAGTAGTACACAAATTTCTTTGCACATTTTATGAAATCTTGTCCGTTAATCAGATATAATCTGAACGAAATATTAACTAATTAGTGTCTGTGTCCGGTCATTTGAACGGATGTCCAGTTATAGGAATTTGATTTGAATGAAAAATGTATGTTTATGAAATGTGTCCGGTTACGAGAGGTATTCGATCATAATTATTATCTTTAATGGGGAATTTCACTGTACCTATACATATAGTGTTAGCGATAATTAAATAAAATTTGTCATATGCATTAAAAATTGACAAAATTAAATTAAATCCATTTAAAGTACGTATAATACCTATGTGACCCTTTTTTGATTTTGGTGTTTTGTTGTTTGCATGTTTTTCTTTTTATTGTAACATTAAAGTTAAAAAGTAATGTTTTTCATAAAGCACAAAACGAAAATTTAGCAATTATC